TATTTTGAGAGGTATTTGCTAAGCATGAGTCCTGCTGGTTCATAAAGCTGGGCAGCTAGAGTGCTGATGATTTTTTATCTGCTGGAGCCCTAGTAATGTCAAATGCAGCTGCATCGGTGGTAGGATTAGGCCTCCGTCTTCACAGACAAACAGGAGGGCTCACATAGGAAAACATAATAATAAACAAAAATTTGTCAGTGCCTGATCCAGAATTGTAAGAGACGGCTGCCCCTTCCTCACTACAGACCATCTCCCTGTAGATTCTGGGCTTTCTGGACAAAATCTCGTTTTCTCTGCCCTAATCATTATTGGCCTTGAAGTATTGGCTCCTATAACAATTTTTTTAATGGAAGTGGCTATAAAATGGAGTTTTGTTAGTAAAACCTCCTTGCTTTAATATAGGTTTTTTCCATTATAGATCAAGATTTTGTGGGTTTAGGATATTTAGTTACTAGATAGAAAAAAGGCACCAAAGTAAAAGCTTTTTCATTCATTTAAAACAACTTGTACTTTTGAGGATCTTTTGATATTAAAAAGTAAGTTTTTCATCTTTTAAAGTTTTAAGTGGCTGGATTATTCACTATTGCCCAAGTTTCTGGAGCTACAGGAAGGCTATGATATACTACTTGCACTTTTTAAGAGTTCATAGTGTACCTCACGTGATATGACCGCTACCTATTACATGCAATGCAGCTTCTCAAAAGGGTTTTTTTTTTCCCTTTTAACATTCACTCTATAAACAGTTCATTGTGGAAATAGGTTATAACTGGTCTGTCTATACAGGATGGGGCAAATGTAGGTTTACAGTTGTTTGTATGGAAAATAATACAATAATTAATAAAGAATGAACTCTGTTTTGGGTACTCAAAATTGTAAACCTACTTTTGCTCCACCCTGTATTCTAGTAACTGCTTAAAAAAATAAGTATTATTTCTAAGGAAATACCAAAAAGAACTAACTTAGTTTTCAAAATATAATTATGATTATTTCATATAGTTGAAGAACTAATTAGTAATAGGGACTCAAAACAATAATACTTGATTTCACATTTTTAAATTAAATCAAAAATTTTAGTGGGATGGAAAAACACTAGCTTATCTTAAAAGCATTATAAACTTGTCTAAATACCCTTTTCAAAGCCCTGATGTGAAGCTTGGATCCTGTTAGGCAGGCTTTTTTGTGGGCGTATTAATTCACATTCCACCTGTCAGGGTACCTATAGGTAAAAACATTAAACCACACCCTCTGTTCTGACCTTTTCCTCAGGGGACACTGACTAGAATCCTTTGGCTCAGTGTGAGAGGCTATTCGAATAGCTCAGTTCAGAAGAGGTTTTTACTTTTGAATTGAGTGAAGCTGCAAGAACAAGGGAAATAATATTGCTCAAGACCTGCTACCAAGGAGATTTAAAACTTGACCTTCCCTGCCAGGTTCAGCGTGGAAGCGTTTCTTATTTCAACAAACACATTTGATACTGAAAGCAGTTTTATTGCTCAGCCAACTAGATATTTATATTTTTTATTCTTCCAATCTTTGAGGACTTAGTTAATTATTCTAGTTATAAAGACATTTCCTTGCTTTTACTTTCTGTTTTTTGATGAAGAATGAAAGATCTAGTTTTTGGTTTTTGGTTTTGTTTTTTTAGATTTGTGGGGTTTTTCTTTTGTTCAGTTTTTAATGAATTAATTTTATAATGTTTATTGGATAGTGCTAAAAAGAAATTTTCATACTGTTATGGTCAATCTCGATAAACTTAAAAAGGATTTTTAATGTAATGGAAAACGGATAAAGTAAATGAGGAAAATTGGCAACTACATCTCCTAGAATGGATTCTTACAAGACCTATTTGGCAACTGTCAAACTCAGTGGCTCATGGTTGGAAGAACAAGATGAAGACATTTATGAGGTTGAATCTCGTGTGCCTTTACCACATCCATTTCCTCTATGTGAACATTTGGATGAAAATAACTCAGTAATTATTAATACTTCTATTTTTCATTTTATTCATAAAAGAAATGGGCACATATTAAAGCTTATTTCTAAAATTTCACTACCTAGCCCTCCTTATTCAGTAAGTATAAAAAATTTTTGGTTTTTTTATACTTTTAGTTTATACTTAGTTTTAATATATTTTAATTTAAAAAAAAACACTGTATAATGAGAAATGAAGTTTAAATGTCTTTAGTAGGGGTAAACTAAATAGAATCTTGTTTTGTTGTTTCTACTACTCATTCATCTTGGATGTATTGAAGAGCTAAATTTGGTCTCAGAGCCCAACTTGACTACGTTTTTAATTTCAGAAAGCAGAATGAGATAATATTACAGTTCTTCCATGCCAAGCAGGCTGTTTAAAAAGATCCTACTTCTCCCGAAGAATCTTGCTTTTATGTGTTTATGATGTCAATTCTGAGTAAAAATTGAATGATTATATTTGAGGAAGTAAGTATTGTGAAACCTAAAACAGCTAAGTGAATTGTCATTGAGCCAGTTAGGAAATGTTTACAATCATATGGCATATTGGCTGCGGTTCCAGACAAGGAAAAAGGAGACCTGGATTCTAATTTTAATTTTCTGGCTAATTTCCTTAAAAAACTTATTTTCAGTATTTTTAATATGCCTGCTAATCCTGTGAGGAAATACCTGTTTTCACTTTTATGTGAAACGTATTTTTGTAAACATTGTTCAGGATACAAGTATTTAACATAGGTTGGTATTTCAGGATCATTTGACTTAAATATGTTGTGAATGATTTACTACAAGTTATTCAGGATAACTACAAGTTACTCAGCACTTTTTATGACTTTAATGGCTTTAACTATAATATACTAGCTAATATTTAACAAGCCAGATGGTTTTCAGAACAGTTTTGTTACTGCCCCTGAAACTTTTATATTAAAGTGACAGAATATTTCCTGATGCTTTATACATGCTTTTAATGTAATGATAGGTTTCTTAAAATATTTTAAAATATTGAATATGAAATTTTTATATATTTCATATTTAGTAAATATTAGGTATTATATAGGTATTAGGAATAAATCATACCTCAACTGAATAGAAGAGGTTTTTTTTTTAAAGTATAAAGTATTTAGATGAACATTAGAAGGGGGTCTCTTATTCCAATAAAGTGCGGGTACCCTCTGGTATTTATAATAAAATACGTTGCCTAAATTTACTGTATTTGATTCCTCCAACTTTTTTTGTTCTGTAAAACTGAAGTTATTCCTTGTGGTTTTATGGCAGGCATTTAAATGCACTTTAAGGGTGGCTTAAGTCATGTCAAGAAGTAGAGTATAGTGTCAAAAACTTAATTTTCTTATCTATAAGTATTTAGTTTGTTGTAAATGCTCTGTTGTATTTGTAAATTTGAAAAAGGAAAAAGAGTCATATCCTTTTAGTTAGAGCTTTGAATTCTTTTAAGAATTTCATGTATTTACCAGGCAACCAGTTTATAATGTACAGAAAAAAGTTGCATATGTACGTGTAGAAACAGTTAATACAGTTTTAAAATATAGGCTGTGGCTGTAAATTCAGGAGTGTAGTTATATAAAAATTAGTTCATACTTTATGATCATGTTTCTTTATAATACAGTTAATGTACATTATCCACATTTAAAGGAAAAGACTCTTTCACCAGTCTAAAGTAAAAATACATAATTTTATCTATGCTGTAGTAACATATATTTTAGAAAATATTTTTATTTAAAATGTATGCTTAATTTTCCGTTATGAGTCTTAAGTAGAATAACTGCATAGTAGATATATTAGAAATTGATTTAGAGTGACCATAAAAAGCTTTATTTAGTAACTGTAAAATCTGTTTGCTGTGGCAAATACCACTCAGAAGTGAAGAGCAGATGTCTTTAAAAATAAAATATTCTTAAATATTATAATTTTATAGTACATTATGGATACCTGACTGTAAATCAGAAACAACTACACTTGATTCATATTTTAAGCTTAAAGCATTGTAGTATTTTTTAATATACTTAGTACTTTATATATAAATTTACAAATTCTTATGACATTGTTGTGAGCCTGTTATAAATTGTATATGATCGCTGCTATAAAAAAATTTTAATAGTGTTAATCATCTAGGACTAAGTACACATTTTGAGCTCAGTTTTTTTTTCCCATGTAGTTGTTTCAGTACAAATAGAGAGCAGTCAGCAGTCCTGAAAAACTAAGCCAGAGACAGTGCTTTTCAGTAATTTCATGTAGCTGGTAACAATGACCACTGTTTTCTGAGAGCTTTGGTCTTGAGTCTGTGCAATACTTGAGTATCATATTGTTGCCTTAAAAATTGTTTTCCAATGTAATCAGTATGTGCTGGAGACAGCATTTTAAGGCGGCTTGTATTTATAGGTAATGACTCTGTGTTCTAAGGGTTTGAAAATAAACAATATTCATATAGAGTCATGTAGATATTTTACAAATGGATAGAAACATAAGGTTTTATTTAAAACATGGGTAATAAATGTAATTTCATTGTGTTTAGCCACTGTGATTTTGTTCATTGATGCCATTGTATTAATCATATATAATTAATTCCTCAAAGTGTGCAGCAGGAGTGACAATAATAAGTAAATGTAAATATAAAAGAAACAAAGTTTATCATAGGGCGCACAGTTAAATAAAATTCTTTAGCAAATACAAAGAGAACCTGTCTTACTAACTTTATATCCCTTTATACAGTAGGAAACAGAGCTCGTGATGTAAAGTGGTTTATTTCCAAAAGAAGCAGTTTTGTTGTCTTCGTTGTTGTTGTTTTTTACTAAAACTAGAATACATCTTTTATGGAACGGTGTACATAGCTAATCTACTTATATACTCATTTACCCCCCTACTAATGTTAGCATGTACTAGAAATATTGAATGACTACAGTTCAACAGTATGCCGTTATTTTTATTTTAAAAAATGCTTTGAAAGCTTTAATGGGAAATGACACTGGTATTCCCAACACTGTTTTCCTTTATGTATACTTTCCCTCCTTGTTTAGCTCGAACACGCAAAAGTTACACAGACAGAGTTGATGCGTGAGTCATTTAGACAGAAACAAGAAGCAACCGAGTCCTTTAAGTGCCAAGAGGAACTGCGAGAGCGCCTTCTGGAGGAGTCCAGGGCCAGAGAGCAGCTGGCTGTGGAGCTCAGTAAGGCCGAGGGTGAGCAGCTTGCCATTGGCAACTGAAAGCGGGGAGATTTCAAGTCTAAATATAGAGATTTTGATGCAAGCCAGGTTTGGCAACCACTAATCTACTCTAACGAAGAGTGAACATTGAAAAGTAGTTGTAATTTGTCTTCAAATTACTCCAAATGATTTTTTTAACTATATATATTTTTCATTATAAAAAGTACTTAACAGAATTGTAGAAAGTATAAAAAAATTTTAGAAATGGATGATGGTGGATTATTACCATAATCCCACCATCCCAAGACAGCTCTCGTCATTTAAAGATGAGGAAACTGAAGCTAAGAGTGTTAATAATTTTTCAAGTTCGCCCATATTAAATAATGATTCCAAATTTTAAGCCTGTAAAGCTCCATGCTGTTCATATTGTACAGTGCTATTGGGGTGTTGTCCTTCCAGAATCATTTAAAATATCAACTTTCTCTGGTATATTTAAAATGTGATTCAGTTCACAAAGCATCTGATTTATATTAAGCTTCCCAAGAACTGATCTATTTATATCTGTTTAATAAAGCGATTTAGTCCTACATGATGTGATAGGTTAGTATAGCAAAGTAATAGAAAGTTCAGGGGAATTTCATATTTAGGCATAATGCTTTAAAAAAACTCCATTGAGCATACTATAGTTGCTATCAGCAGCAGCAGATTCATGCAAGACTTTTAATAGCTTAGAATGATGTAAAGTTTTGCCAGCAGTAACCCCTTTTATTGTTTATATAAAACCTAATGGTACGGTTTGAAATAATAATCCCAGTCCCTGTTAATTTTATTTTATAGGTGTCATTGATGGCTATGCAGATGAAAAAACTTTTTTTGAAAGGCAAATTCAGGAAAAAGCTGATATAATAGATCGACTTGAGCAGGAGTTATTATGTGCAAGTAATAGATTACAAGAACTGGAAGCAGAACAACAGCAAATCCAAGAAGAAAGAGAATTACTGTCCAGACAGAAGGAGGCTATGAAAGCAGAGGCAGGCCCAGTTGAACAGCGTATGTATTTTTAGACTTCGTATGAAACAGTCCTTAAAAGTTCTGTGTGGCTTTTTACCCCTGGCAATGCTGTTATTCAAGGATTTTATATAGGGATTAAAAAAAAAAAATTATAAGCAGATCTACCTTAGTAGTAAATGTCTTATTAGCCAACTATGTAGAATCAGGAATTTTTCTTTTTCTTTTACAAACTTTTTTTTTAAAGATTTTATTTATTTATTTTTAGAGGGGAAAAGAGGGAGAAGGAGAGGTAGAGAAACATCAGTGTGTGGTTGCCTCTTATGCAACCCCTTCTGGGGACCTGGCCTGCAACCCAGGCATCTCCCCTGACTGGGAATCGAACTGGCCATGAGCCACACCGCCCATGGCTCCTGTGACACATTTTAACAGGAATTTTAACATTTTTATTTAAACCTCTGTCTCAAGAGAAAGCTGCGCATAATGAGGCAGGATATTTTTTAAATTGTGTGAGATTTAGTTCTTTTAGTAGCAAAAAGGCAGCAAACCTGTATACTTGGATGAAATAACTAAGACACGGATCTGGCACTAGTAGTGAGCAAGTAGGGGCTGGGTTTTGGCCTGCAAGAGAAGAGCTTGAACAGGTCAGTGGCTGTTCACACCGGACTGACATCTAGTTTAACCTAAGTAGGAATTCAAAGAATATATGAACTTACCAATAACCTTTCATCTTTTCTTCAGTGAGAAATTAGGTAACATACTGAAGTAATGTGTGTTTAGCCATAAAAACATATGTCAGTTTTTGTAATAATGGAACTTTAAATCCATCTTTCATATCCTCTCACTTTTATATTTCACATGCTGTTGGACTTGTGTGTAGTTTTACTACTTGAATTTTTGTCAGTTTAGAAATACAACATACATTTTCGTAATGTATGTAATTTGTTTCCAGCTGTTCAAATTTGTTCAACACAGGTTTGGAGTTGGAATTTTCAGTGTGGAAAATATATGGGTCATATATGTAAAATATTCAAGAAGCACTGGTACATCTCAAAGTATTACCAATAGTAATATTCAGTAGTTTCAACTTCTACTTAAATTCTTTTGTGTATGTATATTACCCAACTTCAGAAAATAGAAGACATGTAAATTATATTTTTGTTGTGTATGTTTTTGTTTTGTTTTTTTTCTATTCTTATAGGACTAGTAGATGCTGCAGTCGATGCAGCACCTGGATCAGGTTTGTTCATACAATTGCATGGCCAATCTTTGGGTGGCAAACTTACAACTCCAAAACTTGGGTGACCCTTGGACTTTTCATCCAACTACCATATCTCTAATTTTGCTGTTGTGTTTTATACTAATTTTTCTCTTTAACAAAACCTTTTCGTACAATAAAAATACATATTTATATTTGAAATCAACAAAGATTCGTAGTGGCCATCATCTTATTATATATATCTTTTCAGGGCTTAATATTTTGATTTTTTTGTTATAAAATTTGGTTTATTAAACATTTTTTCTTAAAAAAATATATTAAACTCTTGCAGCCTATAACTTTTCAAAATGCTTGTTATAAACCAGGAAATATATAAGATGATGGTATCAACAGAATCAGTGAAATTTCATAAAGAGACTTTCTAGTTGCTTTACTTTTATATTAACATCTAAATCAGTATTGTTTTAAAAGAAAAGCTGTTTCCTAGATTCCTAGTCCTGAGTACAGTGTTGGCATACCAGTTAGTAGTATAAAGACTCTAGGGTGTGGTTTCTTCTATTTTCTGTATTAGAGGATTGTTTTCCTTTGCTATATATACTTCATTACTGTATGATTAATATTAATAATAATAGCTAACAGTTATGTAGTGTTTACCATACCCTAGACACTATTCTTTACATATATTAACTTATTTGATCCCACAGTAACTCTTAGAGATCAGTAGTATTACTATTCCCAGTTTACATATAAGGAAAACAAAGCACATCATGTTCCGTGTCACATAGTAGATAAGTGGCAGAGCTAAGATTTGAACCCACTGTTTCTGCTCCTATACACTACACCACACTGCTTTTCCTGCTTGTCAGTTTTCCCTTGATACATATACATGTGAGCGTGCAAGACTAACTCAGGAATATGGATCTAATAAGGAGTAAGACTAACAGGAAATTCTGATTGCAGATGTATTTTTCTGTAACTCTTATTTGCCTTGGTTAAAGATTTGCAGTATTTGATTTTCTTGTGCATTGTGTATGCATATAAAAGTGACTTTATGGATTTAGAATGAATTTTTGCCTGAGGTGAGTTTTTTCTGTGCCTGAATTTAATTAGACTTTGTTCTTTTCCTCAGAGTAACAGTGGATTTTTTTTTTTTTTTTTTTTTTGTCATTTGCTGTGCATTTTTTCACAAAAATACTGTTTCCAGTGACCAGGCATACTTTTTTTTGTTAATTCTGTATAATTTTATTGTCTACTTGCTTACTAATAGGAATGTTATTTTGATATTTTCATAAGAATTCTTTTCTACATGTGTTTGAAATAAAACTGATCTTTATGTCATGAAGGTGAAATTTAAGTATAGTTACGGGTGATTTCACTCTCATAATGTCACTGATTTAACAGTATATTTTTGCATTTCAAACAGAATTACTACAGGAGACAGAAAAACTAATGAAGGAAAAACTAGAAGTACAGTGTCAAGCTGAAAAAGTACGTGATGACCTTCAAAAACAAGTGAAAGCTCTAGAAATAGATGTTGAGGAACAAGTCAGTAGGTTTATAGAGCTGGAACAAGAAAAAAATGCTGAACTAATGGATTTAAGACAGCAAAACCAAGCACTGGAAAAGCAGTTAGAAAAAATGAGAAAATTTTTAGATGTAAGTATTCTCAACTTCAATATTGATTTTTCTCACTGGAGGGTTACCTGCTGCTATTCTAGGTTATGAGATTTAAATTATGAAAAGAGTCATGAATTCTATATTTTCATCTATATGTATCTTTAGTAATTAATTGAAATGTACTGTTCCAATAAAAAATTACAATAATTATAAGGATTGGCAGTCAGAATTAAAAGCATTTGAGGCAAGTTATGAAGAAGCCCTACCAGTTAGCCTTTCCAAATTCATAGTTAAGAAGCTTGTCCTAGTATTTCCTTTAACCAGTAGCCAGAGCTGGTGAGGATCCTAAGAATTAATTGGCTGCCATTATTTTACCCACAAAACATACACATACAGGTAACAGTGTTCCTGTTTCCCAGAGACTAGAACAGTTGACATGCTGTCATTACCCTCTTCTAAAAAGATGTCACATCTCTATTTCACATAGATTGTTTTCTTTTAAAAAGCTTTTATTTATTTATTTTTAGACAGAAGGGGAAAGAGGGAGAAAAAGAGGTGAGAGAAGCATCAGTGTGTGGTTGCCTCTCGTGCGTCCCTGCTCTGCGGACCTGGCCTGCAACCCAGGCATGTGCCCTGACTGGGAATCGAACCAGTGACCCTTTGGTTTGCAGGTCAAGTCTCAGTCCACTGAGCCACACCAGCCAGGGCTGGGGATTCATTTAAGCCTGAAGTTCTCTTCACAGATCAGAGAATCTGATCCTTACACATTATATAATTTTAGATGTAAAACCTAGATTAGGATGAAAGAAATTGATTTACTAAACAATTTCTGCAATTTGTTTTGTTTAACAACTAAATTAACAGTATAATTCCTCCTTTGTTCCAAAAACGTAAATTCATTTTAAGGAGAATTTAACATTATTTGAACAAAAAAGAAATGTGCTTCAAATAGTATTTAAATGCTTAAATTTTTGTTGGAACCCATGTAGGCTACATACCATACAAAAATATTATCTTTGTAAACCTTTTGGTTTGGAGTATTCTGTGGTCATCTGTTGTTTGTCTTCAAACAAAACTGTACAAATAACCAAAGGGATGTGAGAGAAATAATAGCTTCAATAAATATTGTTTCCTCAATTGCCATTATTCTTAAACTTCAGGAGCAAGCCATTGACCGAGAACATGAGAGAGATGTATTCCAACAGGAAATACAGAAACTAGAACAGCAGCTTAAGGTTGTACCTCGATTCCAGCCAATCAACGAACATCAAACAAGAGAGGTAAGAACTTTACTGATGTTGTCTACCTTACAATAATTTATATATTGTCTGTAAGATAAGATGCATATTGTAAAAAACTTAAAGGGAATTCTTTCTAGTGTATGTAAATCTTCAAAATCAGGAAATTAAATATTACTTCCACATGAGAAGGTTTTTAAAACTCTAAAAATCGTTCATATTGACATTTGGAATCATTTCTACTTACCCTTATCTTCTAGTATTGCCCAATTAAACAAACTTCCCTACTCATTTTTCTATTCTTCAATGCCCAACAAAACTGGTAACAAGAGTCATCTATGTTCATTCACTCTTTTCTCTATCTCCCATTCTCTTCTCAGGCCACTCCCGTGAAGTTTCTAACCCCTCTGTCTCAGTGGCGTTTCCTATCCTCTCCTCTGTTCAGACTGTTCTGTGGCGGTTACTGACAGCCTCACGGCTGTGTCCAGCAATCATTCCTGTCTTTATTGTACGAAATCTTTCAGAGGCATTCATTACAGCCTTCTTCCTGAAACACTGCCATCTCTTAGCTTCCATGACACACCGAGTTCTTTTTCTGGTCTTTGTTTTTTGACCCCAAATAAATGGTAGAGTACCCCAAGTGTTAGTGTTGGGCCTCCTTTTCTTCCCAATTTATATTCTCTTCTCAGGCAGTTATATGTAAGTGACTCACATTTGTATTTCGAGCCCTAGCATCTTGGTTGAGCCCCAGACTTGAATATTCAGATGCCCTCTCAACATCTCCACTTAGGTATCTCCAAATTAACATGTTCAGAAGAGAGCTCTTGTTTCCTGACTAGCCCCCACCAAGTAAGATAAGAGTAAAACATGTTCCTTCATTTCAGCAAACTTTATACCATCTCCAACTTCCTCATTGTTAAGACCTAGAATTCATTCTTGATGTCTTTCTTTTTCTCAGCCTCTGCTTCTAATCTATTGGTGAGTCAGTTTTCACTATATTTTCCTATTCTTTTCACTTTCCTTCATCTCCCTAAATCCTAGCTGTTATTTCTTACTTAGATAATATTGATAGCCTTCTTACTACTCTCCCCTGCTTCTACTTTTTTTCACCCACGCTGTGCATTTTCTCTTCGTATAAAAACATAGCCAGAACTCCATATTTACCAAATGCTACATGAATGAGGGAAGATTCATTGTGTAAGTTGCCAAAAATTGCTTATTGTGATTATAAAGAGATTGAGGTTTGACCTTCCTGGTTTGAATCATTGCTCTGCCCTTTTTAGATATGTGACAATGGCTAAAGTCACTTTCTAAAACTTATTTACTCATCTCTAAAAATGAGATTGTAATAGAACCAGTCTCAAAGACGTATTGGCCTGGTACATAATAAACACTTACATTTAATTATTATTTCTGAAAATAATTTTTATTTTTAAAAAAAAATATAGTATATAATTTCTGTGCAGTTTACTGGATTTTATTTCTCTTAAAAACATTGCAAAAAAGGTTTAAAATGGCTATAAACTCATTAAGTAAAATGTTATCTATATTTCCATTGAATAAAAGTAATTCACTATAGAACAGCCTTACCTACTAGAACAGTGGAAAAGTTACCAATCTCCACAGAGTTTGTAGTTATTGGCTTTATTTCTAACATATTTTCAGCTTTTGAAAAATAGCTCTGTGTTTGTTGAAAATCAAAAGGATATTTAAACTCTAGAATTTGCCAACATTTCCTATTATTTGCTCTCTTATATTTAAGAAGTGTGACCTGCTTTGTTTATGAAATTTCAGGAAACAAACAAGGGTATATGTGTATGTTTGATTTTTTTCCAGGAACATTGTGTTCCATTGGCTCTCCCCTTATTTTGCCAGATCTGACTCCCCAGCTTCTGATTTTCTAAAGATTAAAAAAAAAACAAACAATTAACTGTAATAGTATAATGTGCCATTTTGCTGTACCTGCTTTGTTGTCTTTTCCCTTGACTTTACTCCAAATCTTAGTATACCCGGTGGTATTATACTAAGATGGCCTTCCAAGTCATCATATTAAGGCTCCCCCATCCCCTACTACCCCTGTTGTATTTAAAATCATTGTATTATTATGCATCGATTATAACCATTGTGGAAAGAAAAATAGCATCCATGAAAGAATTTTTTAGGTACTCTTATCTCACATAAGATTCTAAGTAGGTGCTATGTAAACTTATGTCATCTTTATTGGGTTTTAGTGTGTTTATGCCATTAGAGCTTCAACTTTATTTAAAAATTAATTTTTTTCTCCTTTTGGCTGGAAAAAGTCTAGTCTTAAGAGAAAGAACTATTTAAAAGTGTTGTTAAAAGCAGTATTATTTCTCCTACTAGTGCTGTTTAGTTTTATCAACTCAGAAAAATATCACCATAGTTGGAGACAATAGTTCCTACACTTATCAAAAAATAAGCATAGCATCTAAAAATAATTTCTGAAATGAGGACGGGTGTGTTATAACTTGCTGAAATTTTTTATGTATTTATAGGTTGAACAGTTAACAAATCATCTGAAAGAAAAAACAGACAAGTGCAGTGAGCTTTTGCTCTCTAAAGAGCAGCTTCAGAGGGATATACAAGAACGGAATGAAGAAATTGAGAAACTGGAGTTCAGAGTAAGAGAGCTGGAGCAAGCCTTACTCATTAGTACAGACACTTTTCAAAAGGTGCGACATTTTCTTTGGGTTAATTTCGATCAGGTGTTTTAATGCAAATTACTCTTAGTTACATAAACATCAGTTCTTTTAAATAAAAAATTGCTATTGACTTTTACATACTGCATAATATATAGGTGTCTTTCTGTTTTCATTGACATTATAACCATTTCTGTTTATTATTTCCAAATGTGGCTTGCATGCCTTAGTTCTGAGAAATGAATATTAAACAGAAAAATTAATTACCCTTTTAACCACCCTAAGGTTGTGATGCTAAAATAATGGCCAAGTGAAACTGATGTTTTACCCCAGACTAGGAAGTAATGAAATCTATTTTCATTATATTGCTAAAAACAAAAATGAATGAAAAAAGAAGAGTAGAGTAAGGAAGCTGGGGGCGGCGGGAGGGGGGGGCGGGGGGGGCAGGTAATGGGTTAGCCCTCGTTTTATCTGAGGAATGATTTTTAATAGTGTCAAACATTCCTGTTTGATTTTGTATAAAATGCATTCAAGACTGATTATCTGTAACTTTTTGATTATTCACTAATGGTAGCTTATCTTTCTCTAATTGGAGAAATAGAATTGCTACTTCTCCAATTAATAAGGATAGTCAAGATTTAATGTCTGAACTCTTGAGAAATTTTTATGTATTTAAAGGTAGAGGACCGAAAACAGTTTGGTGCTGTAGAAGCTAAAGCAGAATTGTCCCTGGAAGTACAGTTGCAGGCTGAGAGAGACGCCATAGACAGAAAGGAAAAAGAGGTAAAGAGTGTATTTTTTAACAACAAAATGTGGTTTGAATTATTTTAAATAAGTCACATTGAAAATATCATGTGAACAGAGTGGATTTTATGGTCTAAAACCAAAGTTTAGACTGTTTCTTAGCTCATTACTTATGTTGATCTTGAAGACAATAAACATTTGAACAGAACGCTGGTGTGAGAAAGAGTGTTTCAGGTGGAGGAGACAACAGCGTAAAGGCCTTGATCAAGCAGGAAGCTTTGAGGAAAAATAGGAGGTCAATTTGAAAACTAGTAGGCCAGTGAAGAAGAGAGTAGGGAAGTAGTATTAGGGCAAAAGACAGAATCTCTCTTTTCTGCTGACCTTACTTACCATGGTCTTTGCATTATTGCTACTCTACTATGGTTTCTTTTTTTTAAGAGTACTATTGCACTAGGAGAGTATAGTGCTGTTATACAATATACTAAAATTATTCTTTAAACAAAAGATTAATAGTAATTATTGTATAAAGTTCTATTTTTCCAATCTCCCCTTCCTCCAAAAAACATCACTTTGAAAATAGTAGTAATTTTCACCATGACCAGTGTGGCTTGGTTGAGTGTCACCCCACAGAGTAAAAGGAAGGTCACCGGTTTGATTCCTGGTCAGGGCACATGCCTGGGTTGCAGGTTTGGTCCCTGGGCATGTACAAGAGGCAGCTGTCTCCCTCACATTGATGTTTCTCTCCCTCTTTCTTCCTCACTTCCCTTCCCTATAAAAATAAATAAAGTCTTTTTTTAAAAAGCAGTAATTTTCAATTCCTAATTAAACTATAACTAATTTAAACCTTTGTCTATTGTTAGTTTTTCTAAAACATTGTACTCTACATTTTTCTGGCTATGTCATATTTAAAGTGTTTTAAATTTTTTAAATTTCATTTTTATCTCCATATGAGTTTTTCAGGACATTTAATATATTTTAACAAATATTTATTGAACTCAAACAGTATGTAAATGTTAATAAGTGCTTTGAAAAATATAAGAATGGTTTAGACATCAGCTAAAACTACAGCTCAGAGAACATGTCGTTTAGAAGAGAAAATATCATCTATGTAAATGAGAAATAGAAATAAACGTTTCTATGAACAGGATTATTTTCTTACAAGCACATAATACTAATGTTTATCTAAAAGGTTATTTATTTTGTTTTTGCATGAGAGACAAAGAACCATTTTGTATATAACCTCTTCTATATGTTTTGAAAAGAATTAACGTTTGAAGATTTACTCCATACTGTCAAAGAAATTATCTGCTTCACTAAAAAGATGGACCTTCAGAACTGTACCCCAAAACAATGATAGTTGATTTTGGATAGTTGATTTAAGTTTACGAATTTTATATTTTTATTATTATTTGAATTTTATTTAACATTACTAACACCCTCATTTCTTGAAGTAAGTACTCAATAACTGTCTACCTTTTCTCAGAATCATAGTTGTTTAGAACTGCAGGAGATCTTAGCCAGCTTCCAGGTTTTACAGATGACACAGACCCAGACATGTTAAATGAGTAAAGAGCTAGCCTGACAGGTGGCCCTGTCTACTAGGTTTTTAATTACAGTGGCAAGCAGGGTGTCAGAACCTACCCAGCCTGTAACTGGAGGCTAAAAGACAGAAACGTAAAATTAAAACATATGTCCTTCAGCCTTGGCCAGGTGGCTCAGTTGGTTAGAGTGTCGTCCTGACACACCAAGGTTGTAGGTTTGATTTCTGATCAGGACACATAAAAGGAACAACCAATGAATGCATAAATAAGTGGAAAAACAAATCATTCTGTTTATCTCTCTCTCTCTCCCTCACCCCCTCCCCCTTTCCTCCTCCTTTCTCTAAAATCAATAAATTAAAAAATTTTTAAACATGTCTTTTAATGAAAACAACATAAGCATTCTCTCCTGCACTAGGCAAATGTTCTCAAATGTCATTATATTTGAGATACCTTTAGGCTACTCTCATAGTCTAAATTTGTGTAAAACTTTATTATAATGTTTAGAAAGTAGAATAAATAGAAAGAGAAGAAAACTTTAGGAATTTCAGTATGTTAAGGGGAATAATGTAAAGAGAAATAGAAGGGAGAATTTCTTTTTTAAAAAAGATGACTTCAGTAGGTTTTAGCTTTCTATAGAGCTAATGAGATCTAGCTTACAGATGGCAAAAATAAATAATAATTAACTTTGTATAAGTCTTTGCTAGAAAGTGCTACGGATTTTAAATGTCCTATGTTATTAATCTTTATGTTGTCCCTCAGCATAGACTTCATTGTCATCTCTATTTTACAGATGAGTAAACTGAGTCTTAAGAGAGGATAAGTAACTTGCTCATCGTCACACATTAAGTGATTAAGCAAGAATTCCTCAAATTTATTTCTCTGATGCTGGAGCTGTGTAATGCTTTACTGCAAAAGCATTTGGGCATGTTCTTCCTTGCTAGTATATAAATACTAAAGACTGTCATTCAGCATTTATTGAGCTCTTAACTGCATATAGACCACCACTGTCCAACTGTAAAACAAGCACTGGATTTCAAGGAATCTGCAATTAACTGAGGAAAAATACACATTTGAAAAAGATAAAAACACTTGAAAACACAAATGGGACAAATTAAATAATCCAATAGAATCAGCAACTACATAGATATCCTTTGGTAGCTAATTTTGTATCCTCACTTGAGGACAGTTTTTCATTGCTTTTAGAAAGAGGCATCAATTGGATGCTTCCTATACATACCCCAACTAGGGAATCAGCCCACATCGAAGGTATGTGCCCTGACTGGGAATCAAACCTGCAACCCTTTTGTTTACAGGATGGTGCTCCAACCAACTGAGCCGTACTGGCCAAGGCTTGGTAGCTAAATTAAACAAAATTAAAACAAATTGCATTCTATTTTTAAACCTTAATGATAATCTTCTAGTTTTGGGTTGTTATAGACTCAGTTAATAAGACAACCTGGGGCTGAAACTGGAGTCTAGCTGAATAAAAGGAAAGAATGCCCTACAGTATCATTTTTGGGAATTGAAGTCTGCTATCCTCAAGTTCAGCTGTTAATTATAACAAGAATGTTAGTGCTTTAGACCAGTGCTGCTCAAATTTTAATGTGCATGTGAAACTCCTTGGGATCTTGTTGAAATGAAGATTCTGATTCAGTAGGTCGTGTGGGGGGGCGGCTTGAGAATTTGTACAATTAACATGTTCCTGGATGATGCCAGTTCTGCTGCTCCAAGGACCACTTTGAAGAGCAAGTCTTTAGATCACAGAGCTCAGTATTTTACCTTAATGTCTTGTATCAAAAAGAAATTATATACCGTGTGAGGTAGGGCAGCAATTTTGAACTTAAATATCTCTGTATGTCTTGAAACAATACCTTATCATCAAAAGCAGTTGTAGAAGATAGGGATAGGTATAAATACTATTATATTAGATAACTTTGAAGAAGATACAGTCATCACAATTTCCAACAAACCTGATAATTATATGTGCACAACTCCTAAGTGTATTTAAGGTATGTTTACTGATTTTAATACCAGTGTTACAGGAAATAATTTCAATATCAGTCTTAGACATTAATTATTAGAGGCAGAATAAATGGTAGTTAAGAATGTAAAGCTCCAGCCAGTCAAGATGGCGGAGTAGGTAAACACTATGTTCGCCTCCTCCTATGACCACATCGCAATTACAACTAAATTATAGAACAGTCAACCTGGAGAACCATCTGAAGACTAGCTGAACAGAAGTCCTATAACTAAGGATATAAAAAAGTCACATCGAGACTGAAATAAAAACTGCTCTTTCCCTTTTGGAAAAAGGTAATAATAAGGCTCCCGAGATAGACTCCCCACGTTCAAAAGCAGACTCCCGCATACTAGCCTTGTGACCTCAGGACTCAGTTCCCCTCCCAGTGACTCCCTTCCTCGTCTCTGAAATGGGAGTAGTCTTAATGAAGGTCTCGTAAGTTTGTCACAGGGTTTTTAAAAAATCATACATATAAAGTACCGTATGCAGAGCCTAACAGTAAATTGTCTATAAATGATGGCTATAATGACTAGTATCAGTACTGTTTCTGTTAAGTATTAGGCTAAACTGTTTTGAAGGTCTTTGTCTTGCCAGTGCTAAGATGTGATTCTAATTGCATGACTGTGTGTAATCAGTGCGTGCCCCCTTCAAGTTCTAAGGCGATAAATGACTTATAGATTGCTCTCTGAGCCACCTACCATTAAATGCTGCTCCTGCATCTTAGGTTGTTTTTAATGCGGCAATTTGATCATCAGGTAAATACACATTCACAAATCCATTCATTAAGTATTTATAAGTAGCTACAAAGCAATGAGCTAAATAACTGATCCTGCCCTCACTGAAACCCAATTTTTTAAATATAACAATAAGGAACTCCTAATGTTTATCATTAGTTTCAGTCCATGCAACCATCAAAGGGCAATTGCTTTATCATCAATGATAATCTGTTCTCAGAAATGAGCTAAAATTCTATTGTCCTACATATAGGAGCTCTAATTTTCTCCTGAATTGCTGTCTATTAAGTACTTTATTTTTTAAGTTTCTGTATTTCAGACCTCTACCTTTGCTTCCTTCTGCTTAAACAAGGTACATGGCAGCCAGATGTTTTATTAGGTATTAATTTGGGCTAAACTGAGCTATTCTCACCTGGTGGTGAAAATAAATGACTTAATCGAATCGTACAGCTTTCTTCAACCTTTTTTTTTTTAGTCTTTACCCGAGGATATATTTATTGACCCTGGTTTTTGTTTGTTTGTTTTTTTTTTGAGAGAGAGAGAGAGAGAAAGGAAGTGGGGTGGGGTGGAGAGAGAGAGACGCCAAATTGGTTGCCTCCCACATATGCCCCAGGTGTGGGATCAAACCCACAACTTTCTGGTGCATAGGATGACACTCCAACCAGCTGAGCCACCCTGCCGGGGCTTTCTTTAACCTTTTGATGAAAACTAAATTCAACATAAAACAAGATTTTCAATGCAAACTTTTTCCCTTCTCCAATGAACCTTTTCTGCTTTATCTGAGGATATTTTAAGTAGGGAATAGTTGCTATATCCTTCCTCTGAAGGTCTCCTCTTTGCTTTGGGCAGGATGGTTTAAGGCTGTTAAGTTTGAAAGTCCTGAAACCACATACTTAACACTAGATTTCAAGAGTCTCCTTTTCTTCTCATAACTCACATGCTTTAAGCATACACACTTATAGAGCTAATACAGCATTCTTCATTTTCTTTTGACAAACATTTGTATAAACAATTTTTTTTCCTTTCTTTTTTGATAATTTTGATATCTAAGATCACAAACTTAGAAGAACAGTTAGAGCAGTTTAGAGAAGAACTGGAAAATAAGAATGAAGAAGTCCAGCAACTACATATGCAATTAGAAATACAGAAAAAGGAATCTACTACCCGCCTACAAGAACTTGAACAAGAAAACAAATTATTTAAGGTAATTAGTTAAGAAAAACTTTGCCCATAAATAATTCATAATTTTTGTCTTGTGCTAACATTAGTATTAAGTATTTGCTAAATCCAGTTGCTAAGTAGTACTTAGCAGAGGAACATTAGCTGCAAATGGTTTTACAATGGAACTTATTTTTAAGCCAACAGGAACATTTGAATTTACCATAAATGCAAAACGTTTCAGACCTTTTATCAAAATGTTTTAAGAATTATTGATTTATAGTAACTATGATATCTCTGACTTTTTAATTTGTACATTTTCAAGTGCTGTATCTTTTATAAGAGTTAATTGAAAGAAAGTTTAAAAATCATGTGTAATGATCTGTCCAACTAGGATGGGTATTTTTATCCCTAGGATGAAATGGAGAAACTGGGATTTGCTATAAAGGAATCTGATGCTATATCTACTCAGGACCATCATGCACTCTTTGGGAAATTTGCTCAAATAATGCAGGAAAAAGAGGTAGAAATTGACCGATTAAATGACCAAATTACAAAACTTCAGCAGCAACTTAAAATTACAGCAGATAATAAGGTATGCTAATTTAAAATTGATTATTAAATGAAGTTAATTTAAGCTAGAATTTTAAAGGGCTAAAGAGTGGTATTTCTCCATTTCTCTTTAAATGTAAAACCAAATAAACCTTAATTCACTTTATCCATTAATTTTAATATTACAAGCTAAGTATATTTTTTTATCACCTCCTAATACTGTCAGAGATTTTTCATGTCTTACAAGGAGTCTCTGGTGACTTAGAGTTCATCATATCATTCTAACCAAACCTATTAAAAATTCTACTTTTTAGTATGAGTTAAATAAGATGACATTTGTGTGCCATCTGCTGTAGACTGTTTTTATTTCAATACTTCATTCTTTTCAATTAGAATGTATTGATATTGACTATTTTACTTACAGGAAATCAGCTACTAAAAGTGTAAATCATTTTATATTTAACAGAGCTTTCTGTATGAAGGTCTGTAAATTAGGACCTTCTTTGATATGGGAGACTGTGGGGAGACTGTTGGTCTATATTAAAATTAATGTAGTATGTTCAAGAACTATGTTGTGTGATCAGTGCTTGAAGATCCTGCCCTAAAATAAAATTGAATTCTCAAAACATAAATAGGTATTTATTGTGTATGCTACCTTTTTTTCATTAACTAATAGGTTATTGAAGAAAAAAATGAACTGATAAGGGATCTTGAAACCCAAATAGAATGTTTGATGAGTGATCAAGAACGTGTGAGGAAAAATAGAGAGGAAGAAATCGAGCAGCTTAATGAAGTGATTGAAAAACTTCAACAGGAATTGGCAAACATTGAACAAAAGACATCAGTGCATACTAATTCTCTCCCAGAAGAAGCAGATAGTTTAAAACATCAGCTGGATATGGTAATAGCTGAAAAACTGGCTTTGGAACAGCAAGTAGAAACCACTAATGAAGAAATGGCCTTTACAAAAAATGTACTTAGAGAAACCAATTTAAAAATGAACCAGTTAACACAAGAATTGTGCAGCTTAAAGAGAGAACAGGAAAATATGGGGGAAATCCAAAGTATACCATCGAAAAGTGTTAATGTGGGTGTCAATGATCTAAGCAAAAAGAAACCTGAACTAGAAGTAGTCCTTACTGAGGGTGCTCTTCAACCCCTAGAAAATCAGACTTACCTCACATCTTTGGAAGGAAACAGCAGAGTTTCCATAAACAGTTTGGAAACAGAGGTGCTACAACTTGAGAGCACTGTGAGTGCAAAAAACTTAGAACTTACCCAGTGTTACAGACAAATAAAGGACATGCAAGAACAAGACCTGGCTGAAAAAGAAATGCTTAAAAAGAAGATTGTAGACCTACAGACAGTACTTGAGGAAAATGTTGCTGCTGCTGTTGTGAGTCAGGTCCAACTTGAAGCAGTTAAGGAATATGTAAAATTCTGTCAAAGTGAACAAGTGAGTTCATCAGAGCCCAAAAGACCAAATATACAGAATTTAAATCAACTCACAGAAAATGAGATGAAGTCAAATATATCAGCGTTAACCTTGAGAATATCAGAATTAGAAAGCCAGGTGGTTGAAATGCAGACTAGTTTGATACTAGAAAAAGAACAGGTAGAAATTGCAGAGAAAAATGCTTTGGAAAAAGAAAAGAAGCTACTAGAACTACAGAAGTTATTGGAGGACAGTGAAAAAAAACAGGCAGGCAAAGAAAGGAAAAGAAGCCCTCAAGGAGATTTTGAAGTTTCCAAGGTTAGTCTGTATTTCTTTTTATCACTTAAATACCCTAAGAAACTCTCTTTTCCTTTGTTTCTTGAGCTAACTGCTAATTTATTAAGTTAAATATGTTGTTCTTACCCTTACTGGTGTGGCTCAGTGGATCAAGTGCCAGACTGTGAAGCAAAGAGTCATCGGTTCCATTCCCAGTCAGGGCACATGTCTGAGTTGCAGGCCAGGTCCTCAGTAGGGAACACATAAGAAGCAACCGCACATTGATGTTTCTCTCCCTCTCTTCTCCCTCCCTTCGTCTCTCTCTAAAAATAAATAAATAAAAACTTTAAAAAAAAAAAAAGATGTTCTTTACATGTAACAATTTGTACACATAAAGCATTTCTATAAAAGTATCACTATACAGTTATATTATCACTAGAATGATACAAACTATATTTTGTATCTAAAAATATACAAAATATATTTGTATTTTGTATTTCACTAGCATAGTCATTAAATAGAGTAGTCAAGAGAAACTTAGAAATGTTAAGTTTAGCAAATGTTCTCTGAAACTTGTATGGGTTTTTTTCCTTTTCTCTCTAACATGAATGTTATGTGATCATCTGTTTTAGGTAATAGAAAATAGGAAAATATATTAGTGTTCTACTGAATTAACATATGAGTTGATGAGTCCTTAGCTTTTGCAGATTTTATATTTGATAATAAATTTTGTTATTTTATATGAAAAATTTAATATATAATTAAATATAAATTATATATTAATATATAAATATATAATATATATTATATTATAAATATATATAAATTATATTATAAATAAATATAAATATATATAAATTATATATTAATATATTATATAATATATATAAAATTTATATCACCCTTGTAAGTCTGCTTAAGTAAAGATCTGAAATCACAGTTATTTCTTAGCATAGGACTGATATGAAAAGACTTTAATTTTCAAATTCTTACTTCACATATTTTTGATTTTGCATAGTAAATACGCAGTCTTAATCTGAACACTAGGAAATTAACTGATATATCAGGATTCTATAAATATATAATTTATTTTGCAAATGATAATTCTTTCCATTTACTAGACTTTTTCTTTCTAGCTTGCAGAAAATATAAACTATAAATAATATTAAAATAGTAATGTGACTTTCCATGTATTTAAAAACTTCTAAGAACTATTTTAGTAATACCTGGTATCTTTTGAGGAAAGTGATATAACTATAAAAGTTTTTTGAATGATACCAAAAATATTAAATAATAATTTATAATTTTTTAGGATATATACAATGAGAGTATTTACCTTTCATTTCTGGAAAGTCATTCTTTTTTTACTTTCCCAAAAATACAAAATGATGGTTCTGAAAAATTTTTCGCTATTTGTCAAAAGAACATGGATCATTTCAACCCCTTTTTTCTGATAGGCAGTCATTCCTGAAAAAGCTTTATTAGAATGTGTATGTGTCTTGAACTTCGCTATTTTTTTTTAAATGATTTGTTTCTTATGTTTTTTCCACTGCCATACAGACAATTCATACCAATGAAGAAAGTGGATTTTTTGTTCAGCTTGAGGCTCTCAGAGCTGAGTCTGCAGCTACCAAAGAAGAACTTGCCAGTTATAAAGAAAAGACAGAAAAACTTCAAGAAGAGCTTTTGGTAAAATAAGTAACTTAGCTCCTAATTTACTTTTTTCTACCTATCTTAATTTTATTTCAAATTATATTCTTTTCTATGAAACAAACCCAGATCCATAACTTAAAGCTAGAAAAAAAATAAAAGCTTTTGTAAATTTGATGAAAAGTTTTTATAAATTTCTTTGCTAGCATCTTCTTGCTTGATTTGGAGTCTTCATTAGGAAGATGCTTTTAATCTCTAGTCTATTAATGAAGGAGGAGAAAGACAGATATTAAAGGAAACTGTATATACCATGAGAAATAAAAGTAGAGGCTGTGAAAATGATTTCATTTCTGTGGCCATGTACGTATATATAGAAATATATTTGGAGACTATGAGTGTTTCAGATTTTTTTAATCATTCTGAGGAAAAGGAACATACTAGTATGATCTATACTCTCTCCTCTCAACCCTAAACTCTACATTCGACATTTTTAACTGAGTATTGTACTGTTCTATTCATTGTGTTTTTAGGTAAAAGAAACAAATATGGCATTTCTCCAGAAAGATTTAAGCCAAGTTAGGAATCAACTCACAGAGGCAAAAGAGAAGTTATCCTACTTCTTAGAAAAAGAAGATAAGACTAAGGAGCAAGAAAACAGAGAGCTCTGCATATTAGAGCCATTTCCTACTAAAGAGGGTAAAAGCACTGCATCCCAGACAGACAGGACTCTCAAGGTCAATAGCAGCAATCAGACTCCACAAATCCATGTCAGAAATGCAGGGATCCAAATTGATTTACAGAGTGAATGTCCATCAGAAGAAGTTACTGAAATAATCACTCAGTTTACTGAAAAAATTGAGCAAATGCAAGAGCTACATGCTGCTGAAATTTTGGATATGGAATCCAGACATATTTCAGAAACTGAAACCTTAAAGAGGGAACACTATGTTGCTCTTCAGTTATTGACAGAAGAATGTAGCTCCTTGAGGGCAGTGATACAGTGTCTGAAGTCTAAAGAGGTATTTATTTGGTTTTCATAATATGTGCTTTTCAGTGTTCTGTGATTTTTTTTTTCTTCAAAATTCAGTGGTTTTAAGAGGAAAAGAAATTTAGGATAATTTCATTATGATAAAATTACAGTTGTAAGTCTTTCCATTATGGAAAGTCAGATATTAACTTTCCACCAAGTTCCTGTGCAGATACAGAACCTGATGTTACTGTTCCTTAATTCATGAACGTTTCTTACTTGGTAATGTCCATGAAGAAAAAAATTAAAGACTTGTGGTAAGCATGGATAGTTTTGTTTATTTTAAAAAGACGTGGCAAACTTAATTGAATCTTTTTTTTTTACAGCATTACAAAGAACAAAATTATTTATTGAACCCTATTTGTATTAAAGCAAAGAAAGTTATATATTTTGTTTGTTTGTTTTCGCCAATTAGGGATCCTCAGTTCCTGAATTAACACATTCTGATGCTTACCAAACTAGAGAAATATGTTCTAGTGGTAAGTTACATAAATTTCTGGAATTTGTATAGTACTTGTATAAAAAATATTTGTTTCTTTTTAATAGTCAGTGGTTGTTTTCTGTATTTTAGATTCTGGATCAGACTGGGGTCAGGGAATTTACCTTACACAAAGTCAGGGATTTGACTCAGCATCAGAAGGTCGAGGAGGAGAAGAAGGAGAAAGTTCAGCAGATTCATTCCCAAAGAAAATAAAGGTACTAAAAGACAGATATCTTTTAGTGAAACTTAGTGTGGTTTCTATATTAAACATAATAGTGTATTTGAAGGTATATAGTAAGACCCTCTGTGGAGAGAGAATTACAGAGCTAGAAGGACTCTTGGGGATCTATTTAGTTTTATTTCCAAATTTTACAGATAATAAAGTACAATATATTTATATACATACTTTTAAAAATTTTTCATTACTGAAATTTTTGTTTGCCAAAATTATGAAAGTGGTCTCAAGGACGAGAATTTATCCCCTACATATTTCTTTTGGTCAAATTAGTGGCTAATTATTAAATCCAAGGAGATAAATAGAAAGTATAAAGTCATAGTCCATCTTTTGGGATTGGCTTTCCCCTCCACGGGAAGAGGATAGGATGGTATTTCCTATCTGCAGTGGCTTTTCTAAATTAATCTTAGTAGATGTAAAGCTGTCTGGCTTAAAATTTCCTTTTGACTTTGCAGTCTTTGAAGTTGTAGTAATTCTGGCTTTTGGGTTTTGGTTTCTAGGGATTACTGAGAGCTGTCCATAATGAAGGCATGCAGGTGCTCTCTCTCAGCGAGTCTCCCTACAGTGATGGAGTGGACCATGGTGTTCAACAAGTTTCAGAATCTTGGCTAGAAGAGAGAAAAGCTTACCTCAGTACAATCTCATCTCTTAAGGATTTAATTACCAAAATGCAGGTGCAAAGAGAAGCTGAGGTACTCAAGATTATTATGCTTCTAAATAGTTTTATGTAATACGTGTCAATCTTAAGGCACTTTACAAATTAAATTGTTGTTGTTAATGAGGTATTTTCACATGAATTACTATATATTATTTATATGTCCCAAGTCACATATTTGAAAATAAATTCACATGATCTTAGGTTTACATGCTTTTATGCACATTTGTTTTGGTTAGTAGAAAAATATCCTTTTTAGAGCCTTTTTAAACATGCTTCATTGGAGCTAACTTGTGTTTTTTATACTCTGCTAGGTTTATGATAGTTCTCAATCGCATGAGAACTTCTCAGACTGGCGAGGTGAACTTCTGCTTGCCCTTCAGCAGGTTTTCTTAAAGGAGCACAATGTCTTACTGGCTGCATTTCAGACCGAACTGACAGCTCTAGGCACTAGAGATGCAGCTGGATTATTAAATTGTTTGGAACAGAGAATACAAGAACAGGTATCAAAATGACACTTTATGTAAAACTTAAAAGAAAGAATGCTTTTTAATACTGATAAGTGAATTGTTGATTAGTTTTACAAAAAGTCTTAAGTTTAAAATTTTAGCAGTAGTTACTAAGAATATTTAGAAAAAAATTGTTACCTTAAGTGTTTTTATCTTATATTAGAAAGTGAACAATATTGAAAATTAATGAGCTAATCATACTACTTGGGAAGTTAGAAAAAGATTAACAGAATGACCCAAAAATATTAGAAAGGATATGATATAGTCAGTTCTTACTTTTTACAGTAGTTAGATTCTATGAAGTTGCCATGAATACCCAGCCATTGCTACTAAAGGGAACAGAGGGGTCAGTTCCTGTGAACCCCTAATTGTGACATTCTTGTCAACCAGTGAATACATGACGTCATTTTATATATGTTTCTGTTTAAACACACTGTATTTACTATATGTTGTTGATTAATTAGCGTTGAACTGATGGTTATCAACACTATAACTCATGCCTAAATGAAGCCTATCTAATACATGTATTTTTTCCATAAAATTCAGCTTTATTGTGGTTAGGAACACTATATAATACTTCATTACTGTGCTTGGGGACCATTTTAAACAGCAAAATCAATAAAAAGCACAAAAGTGCAAAAAGAACAGCACTAAATGGATGGCAGAAGAATACTTGTTTATAGCATAAGGGATGAAAAAAGAAGGCAAAGTGTCACCTTGTTTAACTTCAGCCAGGAACATGCACATCTGGCAATTTTTGCCACGGCATGTTTGCGAAAAACTGTGAGAACACTGCAAGTATTGATTTTGGGGTCACAAGTACATATTAGTAAATAGGCAAATTCATAAATACATAATCCACAAATAAGGAAGCTCAACTGTGATAAATGAGAAGTTAATAAAATACAGTGGTACAATAGAGGATGAAAATAATAAAAATTGATTCTTTGAAAGGCTAATACAATAAATTTTTCTGGAAAATTAAGGAAAAAAAGCACACTCTTTTAAAAGATAGGAATGAAAGTAGGATCACAACCAAAGATATAGCTGAGATATAAAAATAATGGAATGTCGTGAATAATTTTGTGTCTATTTAAAAACTTCAGTGAAATGGACAGGTTTTCTAGAAAAATACCTCTTACCAAACTCTTTTGGGAAAAAATACCCTGAAAAGATCTGTAAATAATAAAGGAATCGAATCTGTAGTTAAAAATCAGTTCACATTCTCTCGTACATCATGTTTCTCTCTCTTTCTTTCTCCCTCCTTTCCCTTCTCTCTAAAAATAAATAAATAAAATCTTTTTAAAAAATAATCAGTTCATAGCCCTGGCTAGTGTGGGTCAGTGGATTGAACACCAGCCTGCAAACTGAAGGGTTGCCAGTTCAATTCCCAGTTAGGGCACATGCCTGGGATGTGGGCCAGGTCCCCAGTTTGGGGCATGCAAGAGGCAACCAATCAATGTTTCTCTTGCATATCAGTATTTCTCTCCCTCTCTTTCTACCTTCCCCTCTCTAAAAATAAAAATCTTAAAAACTATATCAATATTTAAGAATTTTTTTTAAAAAAATCAGTTCACAACACTTAGCACCCATATCCTGATTTTTGAGTGCATTCTCCATCGAAAGGAACTAGGACTTCTTGGAGAAATGGCTAATTCCAAGAGCAAGAGAAAGGGAAGTACAAGATGAATCTGAAGTATCTCATTTTGCTAACAAGGAATTGCTGAAAGAATTAAAGGGATTTTAAAAAAAGCACTAAGGGGATATTCCAGAAAGTCACAGAAGCCAGCTTGAAGGAGTTACCTCTGGCTAAATTTGGGACTGTTTGAACATCAAACTAAATAATAAGAGTGAAAGCTGTTCTCATTGACTTTTCCATACGTATGACTTGTCTTGGCTCATGCCTCATACTTTTCTAAAATCTCTCAAACAAGCAGCATCTGACCTCAGGAAGCCCTGTCACTAAGTGGCCCGAAGCCCAGCAGTAGCAGCCAGCCTTGGTTCATTCACAGCTTGGTGTTGCATGGGCACCTGAAAGCCCAGCACAAGCAGCAACCATCAGCGATTGCTTTGTAGATCACGCCAAGTGGCCCCAGTCAGGACACAGGCAGTGGCAGACCTTGGCCTACACGTTGCAGGAGGCCCCAGAGTCAACATGCCCAGTAGACAGCTTCAGACCACATCATACACACCACCCAATGACCTCCACAAGCAACACACTCAAGAGGCAGACTCAACAGGCACCAGAGCTCCACTGAAGTAAGTTCTGCCCTGTGGAATGGGCCCTGCACAGCTGATCCTCCATGGCGGTCAGAGATTGGTGGTCAGTGTTTACAGCCAGTTTTTGCAGTTGATCGGCCTGGGTTAATCCTCCCATTGACATGAAAACAGCAACAAGACTCAACTACAAGAGTTGGGGGTATACAGCCCACACAAGGGGCACACCTTGAGTACACGCCTTGGGTGCCTGGGAAGGTTGTTCCACTCAACCCTACAGGACACCTACTACATTAGGCCACTCTACCAAGCCTGGGAGATGTAGCAGCTCTACCTAATACATAGAAATGAACACAGGGAGGCCGCCAAAATGAAGAGACAAAGGAACATGGCCCAAATGAAAGAACAGAGCAAAACTTCAAAAAAATAACTAAACAAATATGGAGATAAGCAATCTACTAGATGCAGAGTTCAAAACAATGGTTGTAAGGATGCTCAATGAACTTAGTGAGATTCTCAACAGCATGAAAGAGGACTAGTCAGAAACGAAAGATATACTAACTGAAATGAATAATAATTTGCAGAGAATCAACAGCAAAGTAGATGAAGCCAAGAATCAAATCAGCAATTTGGAATATATAGAAGCAAAAAAAACAACAACAAAAGAAACAAAAAACAACAACCACCTAATCAGGACAGCAAAGAGAAAAAAGAATCCAAAAAAAAAGGATAGCATAAAGAGCCTCTGGGACAACTTCAAGGGTGCTAGACACAGAAGAGAGAGAGCAAGAAATTGAAATTTTATTTGATAAAATGACAGAAAACTTCCCTAACTTGGTGAAGGAAATAGACATGCAAGTCCAGAAAACACAGAGTCCCAAACAAGATGAAATCAAAGAGGCCAATACCAACACACATCAAAGTTAAAATCAAAAGGTTAAAGACAAAGAATCTTAAAAGCGGTTGCTTACAAGGGAACTCCTGAAGATTGTCAGATGACTGCCAGTCAGCTGTCCAGTGTGGGTCAGGTGGTTGGAGCATTGTCCCATAAACCAAGGGGTCATGGCTTTGATTCCCAGTCAAGGCACGTACCTGGGTTGCGGGTTCAGTCCCTGGTCAGGGTGCATATGCAAGGCAGCCAATCGATGTTTCTTAAATTGATATTTCTCTCCCTCGTATCCACTCTCTCTGAAAAATCAGTAAGCATGTCCTCATGTGAGAATTTTAAAAAAGACTGTCAGCTGACTTACTAAGACAAACTTTGCAGTCCAGAAGGAATTGGCGAGAAGTAATTCCAAATGATGAAAAGCAAGGACCTACAACCAACATTACTCTACCCAGCCAAGCTTTCATTTAGAATTGAAGGGCAGATAAAGAGCTTCCCAGATAAGAAAAAGCTAAAGGAGTTCATCACCAAACCAGTATTGTATGAAATGTTAAAGGGTCTTCTCTAAGAAGAAGAAGAAGGTCAAAAATATGAACAATAAAATGGCAATAAATACACATCTGTCAACAATTGAATCTAATAAGACAGTAAATGAGCACGCAAAATAGAGACAAACTCGTAGATACAGAGAACCTTTCGACATTTGCCAGATGGGAGGGGGTTGGATGGATGGACAAAAGAGATTAAGGGATTAGGAAGTACAAATTGGTTTGTTAAAGAATAGTCTTGGGGGTGTAAAATACAGCATAGGGAATATAGTCAATATATTTAAATAACTGGTGTCGGATGTAAGATTTATTGGGATGATCACTTATTAAGTTATGTAATATCTAATCACTGGGGTTTACTCCTGAAACTAATAAAGTGATAATGTGTATCAACTGTAATTGGAAATAAAAAATGAGAGTAACAGTAAAAAACAAAGGGTAAAAATAGGAATGCATGAGTTCACTGATACAATAAATGAATAAAAATCCTTATAGTAGGATGCCAACTAGCATGTAGGATAAATGATGGAATTTACAAATCACCCTTTATTAAACACTATAGTAATATGATCATGAAAGTATATTTACATACTCTCAAAGTAAATCCACCCCCCAAAAAAATCCTTTTTTAATTACAAATGGAAAAGCAGTAACTTTACAGTGGAGAAGCCTTCAGATACCCCACCAAGTGAGTAGTTACTATCACCAGAAATGGAACAAATAGACATCAAATACTTCTTGATATGAAGGTCGTGACATCACTTTTGTGCATAATAAAAATCTACTCATTGAGACATGTTAGCCAAAAACAAATTGAGGCCACTATACCTCTATCAGAATGGCCAAAATAAAAATTAGTGACAACACTAAGTGTTGAGAGAGAAATTGCATCTCTCATGCATTATTGTTAGGAATATAAAAGGGAGAGCCACTCTGGAAAATCATCTAGCTGTTTCTTATAAAGTTAAAAATACACTTACATAACCTAGAATCACACTCACAGGTATTTAATCTGACAGAAATGAAAACTTATGTCTCCATAAAAACCTGAACATGAATATTCATAGCAGATCTGTTGGTAATAGCCAAAAACTGGAAACAACCCAAATATCCTTTGACAGGTGAATGGATGAACAAATTATAGCATATCCATACAGTGAAATACTACTCAGCAATTTAAAAGGAACAAACGGTTGATACCCTCAATATATGTTATGTAACACTCTTGAAATGACAAGATCACAGTAATCTAGAACAGATCAGGAGTTAGGACTGGAGAGAGGATGTGACTACAAAGGAGTTTCTTTGTGGTGATGAAAACACTTTTATATCCTGATTGTGGTGGTGGTTACATGAACCTATACATAGGATAAAATTTCATAGTACTATATACCAATTCATTGATGAATGCATTTAAAAACTAATGATATCTGAATAAACCCTGTGGCTTAAATATTGTACCAATGTCAGTTTCCTGGTTTTGATAATGTACTGTAATTATATAAGATACTATTAGGGGAGGCTGGCTGAAGGGTATATGGCAACTTTGTCTTAAATTATTTCAAAATAAAAAGTTTTCAAAAAATGAGAGACATATTACAAAATAACCTGTACTCTTCGAAAATTTAACTCACAGAAGACAAAGATTTATAAAAATACCATTTTTTTTCCTTTTGCTATTTAGGGCAGAATTTAAGATTTATACATTATAGCAGGTTCTGTTGGGTTAATTTCTGCTTGAATAATTGTACTGTGGTTTATAAAAGAATATTCTTGTTTTTAGGAGATACGCACTGCAGTTTTTAAGGGAAAAGGAACATCTTCCTGCAACATATTCTCATACATTTTGAAAAAGAAAAATACTGATATATGCATATATGTGTGTAGAAATATACACATTTAGAGAGAGAGAGAGAGAGAGAATGATAAAGCAAATGTGGATAACATTTGGGGAATTTGGATGAAGGCTATATGGGATTCCTTGAACAATTTTTGGATCCTCTCTGTGAAATTATGTCAAAATATAAAATAACAAATTTTAAAAATCTATAAAAAATAAAAATAAAAATCTACCCACAAGAATTACACCAAGCCCAAATGATATTCTGGATAAAGTCTACCATACATTCAGGAAACAGCCAGTTCCAGTGGTATACACATGCTCCTTGTTGTTGGATGGTTAGAGGCATGCCCTGTCATTTTTCGAGGAAGCTATTATAATCTCTTCCAAAATGAGATAAAGGTGATACAAGAAAGAAAAATTATGGGCCTATTCTTTAACATAGATGCAGAAATTTTCAATGAAATATTAATATACCAAATTCACCAAGGCATATATTTTTAAAGACACAATTACCTTATACTTATTCAGGGATACAAAGGTAGCATATCATTAAAAGTAACTCATGTGACTCATTACTTTAACAAATTAAAGGGGCAAAAAACTGATAATCTCGAGATAAAACTAATAACTACTTGATTAAAATGAAGAATTTTCTACTTTAAAATATTACCTTTAAGCAAATTAACTAAAAAGGAATTTATTGAACTAAGTAAAGATTATGCCTAGCAAAAACCTACAACAAACATCTTAAAGTTAAATACTAAAAATATTTCTTAATAAAGTGTTCAGTAGTTTGTTCAACCTCATCTTAAATGTTTAGCTAGCAGAGCAAGAAAAATATGTAAAAGTTGGGGATGGGGAAGACTCCTTATTCACTTACATAGAAAACCAAAGAGGATCTACACACAAAGATTTTTAGAATTGATAAGAAAGTTTGAAAACATTGCTGGATAGATCAAGATGTAAAAATCTGCTTTCTCAATAAACAATGTAATTTTAAAAATAATTACAATAGCATTAAATGGACAAATTCCTAAAAATAACTACTAAAACTGACTCATGAAAAGAATAGACAATCTAATACACTTATAATAAAGAGCTAAATTAGTAATTCTTTAATTTCTCACAAAGAAAAGCCCAGGATCAGCTGGCTTCACTGGTGAATTCTACCAAATGTTTAAAGAAGAGTTAAGACTAGTCCTTCACAAACTCATCAAAAAAAAAAGACTCATTCTGTGAAACCAGTTGTTGCTCTAATTCCAAAACCAGACAAAGATGTTAAAACTGCAGACCAATTATCCAATAATGTTGAAAACAACCAATGGAAAAGTGGACAAATAATGTAAATATATGTTCTCATAGAAGACAATAAAGAATATCTAATAAATATATGAAAAGATACTTAAATAAAATATAATGTATTATTCATACTATGGGATGCTATGTATGAGAGGGAACCCAAAAAATAACGGAATTGTCTTATGGAGGGCCCCTTGTAGTACAGGCTTCCCCCTCTAGATGAGTGTTCTAGGAACCCCTCTGTATCAGTGCACCTGCTGGCACTGTTGTGAGAGGCTGCGTTCAGCTTAAGTGAATTTTTTTTTTTTTTTTTGAAGACTCTCTCAATGCGTTTGCCCATTTCGACATGGGTGATTTTACGAGCATACCTGCCCACACCATTCTGTGTCCAGAAGTTTTTGACCAAGAACGGCATGACCCCCTGTGCCCAACCTTCACCTAATCTCTCCCCAAGCAACTTTTTGTTTGTTTCCCTGGTGAAAAAAGTCCTCATAGGAAGCATTTTACCCGTGTGGGAAAAATGAAACCAAAAACATCATAAGTACTAAAAGGCATCAAAATCCACAAGTTCAAAAAATGTTTTGAGCAGTAGAAGAAAACATCTCAGTAGGTATGTTACATCAAATAGACAATACTTTGAAGGTGATGGAAATTTAAACATTTAAGAATAACAGTTTTTTATAATTCCGGGGGTTTGGTCCCCCCTCATAATACTGAAATGAGGGCGAAGTAGGACTATGTGTATCAACACGTTGGTTAACCAGAATGTGGTGGGAAAGGCAAATTACATCAAGATAAAAGCAGTATGATGCCATTTATATAAAATTTTAAAACATGCAAAAATAGTATTGTATATTGTTTAGCATGTGTATATGTAACGTAATATGCAGAGCAGGAAAATTAGAAGAGTTAGAATTTTGTTACTTCTTGAGCAGGCAGTGCAGGGGAGGGTGTGTTAGGGAGTTGTATTCAGGGGCTTTAATTGTATAGGTGCTGTTTCTTAGGCTAAGTACATGGGTATTTATTATATTATTCTTTGTGTTGTTTTGTATGTTTGAAGAATTTCAAAATAAATGTAAAGATTAGTAACCAGAAGTAAATCCTAATGAGGAAGAGAAAATTAATTTCTTTTAAAAATTTTAGCTTGTGTATTTCATTCATTCTTCTTTAGATTCCTGGTTGTTAATTTTATTGTCTTTATAACTGTCTTCACTTGATTTTTTGCTTTGCATTGTTACAGAGTGTTGAATACCGAGCAGCTATGGAATACCTTCAGAAAGCAGATAGAAGGAGTTTGTTATCCGAAATTCAAGCACTGCATGCTCAAATGAGTGGTAGAAAAATGGCTCTGAAGAGAGAACAAGAGAGTGATCAACCAAGCCAAGGTACGCTGTGTGTCAGGCTCATGTGATAACACAAATAGGTGAAAACATTTCACATTGTCTCCCTTCGTATTGTTCAGTTAAAACACATTTCTTCTTAGTCACATTTCATTCTCATTCTCAGAGAAAGAGCCTACATTAATTACCCGAGGGATTAAAGGATCGTCCAGTTGGTTTTGAACATATATATATGTGTATATACATGTATATACCTGTTGTTATGCAAGTTAGAGAAAAAGTAGGTTTATAGTTGTGAGTATATGAAACACAAGAGTTTATTCTTGTATTATTATTATAATAATAATACAATAATCTTGTCATTATTGTATTATTTCCCATATGAACAACTGTAAACCTGCACTGGCCCCACCCTGTCTTTCTGTGTGTGTGTATGTATTTACACATGCGCACGCACACGCAGTTGGCCCTCGGACACTGGATTTGGGGGCGATAACTACTCGTGCTACTAAAAATCTGAGAATAAATACATTGAGATGGCCCTCTGCTTACATGGATATCAAAAATACAGTTTTTATATTTTTAGAGTTGGAAAATATTTTACATTAGGATTCTCTAACCAGGTGGAATCTTACACTTAGCTTTGGGAACAAGAATAAAATGAATAGGTAATACCAGTCTTGCTATGCCATATAAGCTTATTGCTCCATCTTAAAAGCAACAGTTTTTGAAATTGGGAAGAAGTGGTGGTTGTGGAGGAGAGGAGGTTATTGTTCAATCACTGCAAAGAAAAAATGCTGTGTGTGACAGACAGCCTGGTAAGGACCTGCTTTAAAATACCAAAGGATTTTGTTTTTATGTCCCAGAGTCGGAAAACAACTTTTGCCAGCTATGTGTGGACAGAGTATGACAGTGACTCTTAAAAAACACTTTAATCAAAGGGACTGCAATTTTCTGGCATATAAACAGATACAGTTAATTTAGAAAATAAGCATTGCCTTGACCAAAGTTGTTTGTTAGCCCATTGTTCATTATTTTTCTTTGTTTTGAAGCTCTTTGTGAAGGTAACCTAAAGGAAAAAGAAATCCACAATGAAAGTAACTATTTCTTTATTAATCCTTTTTAATTGTGAACTATAATATGCATTCAAAAAAGTACAAAGGCAAAAATATACAATATAACAAATCAAGATGAGTATCTGTGGAAGCATCACCTATGCCAAGTATCCCAGAAGCCCCTTTCCCAAGTGTCCACTCCTCTAGTAACCTGGAAGTGACATTATCCTGATTTTTTTTTTTTTTGTTTTACTACCTATCTATATATTCCTAAACCATGTAAGTTTAGAGTTTTCCCTGCTTTTGAACTTTACACTGTCTTGCTTCTTTCACTTCTCTGTAACATTCTTTTAAGTTACTATAGTATTCTTTAGTTCACTCATTTTTGTTACTGTACAGAACTCTGTGTGTTTATTTCACAATTTATATATCTTGTTGGCTACTAGATCCAGCACTAATCTCCATATTGTTATACCATGTTTCTGTTGGATACATGCATGATGATTCAGGAGTAGAATTGCTAGGTTATGAAATACATATCTTCAATTTTATTAAATAATGCCAAACTGTTTCCAAAGTCGTCACATTAGTTTGTACACTTGCTGGCAGTGCATGAGGGTTGTGTTGCTTCACATCTTTGCCAACAGTTGTTACTGTTTGTTACCATCTGGTGGGTGTGCATTGTATTGTTATTATGGTTTTAATTTACATTTACTGGTTACTGAAATGATTGAGTCCTTTTGTCATACGATCATTGGCTAGCTGGATTTCTGCTTTTGCGATTCTTTTTTTATATATATATTTTATAAAATGTATATATATTTACTTTTTAGAAAGAGGTGAAGGGAGGGAGAAAAAGAGGGCAAGAAATACGAGTGTGTGAGAGCTACATCAATTGGTTGCCTCTTGCACACCCCCAACTGGGGAACCTGGGCCTCAACCCAGGCATGTGCCCTGATGGCAAACTGAACCTGTGACCTTTTTGGTTCTGAGGCTGGAGCTCAATTCACTGAGCTACCCCAGCTAGGCTTGTGACTCTTCTTCAGATCTTTTCCCCATTTTCGATAGAGGTGTCTCTTAATTTAGAATTGGAGGTAGAAATCATTTGAGATTAAATTGAAATCTAATTTTCATAATGTCTAGTGAAGACACATATCCTTGTCTTCAGTTTTGTTTAATATGGTACGAACACTTTAGCTATTGCAAATTTTGAAAGTCATACCGTAGTCTTACATTTGTCATTGAAAAACTGAAGATTTTAAATATTTTTAAATATTTTAGAGAAGACAGGTATAACAGGATCGCAAATTGAATATATCCTTTATATTAGGACATAAAATTAATTGAAGATTATTTTGTATAATTTATTAGTATCAGTTAAGTTAAATAAAACCCCATTGGAAGCTTAGTTTCACATACATACATACATACACACATATTTATATATGTAGATCCTTGACCTCCCTAGGAAATAGTTTTAAAAGGCTGAATTGACATGACTGTCTTCAAAATTCAAGTTATTTCTGTCTCCTAACAGTAATAGGAATTGTAATTAGAAGTGATTAACTTCAATAAAATTTTTTAGGTTAAAAATAAGTTTATGGTAGAATGGGGAGGGAGAGAGACTGGATGAAAGAAGGTGAAGGGATCAGCCAAAGAACATACATGCATAACCCATAGATACAGACAACAGTGTGGTTATGGCCAGAGGGAGGGGGTACAAGGGTAGTTGGGGAGGTGGGCAAAGGTAGGGAAAATAGGGACATCTGTAATAGCGTAAACAGTCAAAAAAAAATTTTAATGAGATGAAAGAAGGGATTTAGACAAGTCATTATTGCTTTTATTAATACAAAGGTCTTATGCAAAAAAATACATTTATGGTTGAATAGAGGCATAAAAAGAGTAAAGTAAAACTAGAATGTTCTAAATTCTAAAATAATACCCAGGTAAATATCTCTTCAGACCTTTTCAATGTGAGTGTATGTATGTGTGTGTGTGTGTGTGTGTGTGTGTGTGTGTGTATATATATATATATATATATGTTCATATTTTTCACAAAAATGGGATGCTGATCCATATTTTGTAACTTTTCAAATTTATGATACCTGGGAATTTAAATATTTCAGTTTGTTTTCATTGTAACAGACATGGAACAAGGGTTTGGTTGGTTTTTAAGGAAAAAAAAAACATGATTCAAATTTTTTTGAAGGGTTTGGATTTCCCACTTTTCTAAACTAAAGTTTCTACGTAGACTGTGAAGGAGGTTCGATCAAAACAAGCCAGCAGCGCTGACCATTGTAGCTGTGCTTGCACAGGTTACTCCTGTAATTACTTCGTGTGGCTATCAAAAACCATTGGAATTTTTTAATGTGATATATAGAAATTCTGAATGAACAAATACAGGTTTCTCTTTATTTCAGGTCTGTTAAACTTTTATCATCCAATACATTTATAGTTCTGAAAGGTTGACCATTAGGACTGTAGGAAAAATATGCATAAAATATATCAATTGCTAACTTTGGGGTTGTAATATTTTCATTTGCTTTGTAGTAATCACCTAAATTAGAAATCATTTTTTATCAACAAAATATTTGTAAACCAAATATGAGTCGCTAAATCACACTTTAAATATTAATAATTTTCCATTTAGAACTTCTGGAATACAATATACAGCAGAAGCAATCTCAAATGCTAGAGATGCAGGTGGAGCTCAGCAGTGTGAAAGACAGAGCAGCAGAACTACAGGAACAGCTGAGTTCTGAGAAACTGGTGGTTGCTGAACTGAAGAGTGAGCTTGCACAGACTAGGCTGGAACTAGAAACAACACTTAAGGCACAACATAAGCATCTAAAGGAATTAGAGGCCTTCAGGTATGCCAAGCTTCCTTATTCTAAACCTATGTTATTGAAATTGGAATAATTTTATCACAGATGTTGTAAAGATTTTATAAAAACATAACATTATACATGATATTTACATAGCATGACACTTTGTTGTTTATAGGAACAACTCAGTGGAAAGGAAAATTCCAAATATTTCCAAAAAATAAACTCATGATTAGGTATTGTCATGTTCTCTACTATGGCTTTCATTCTACTTGAGACTTCTTATATAAGATACATAATATTGACCTTTATTTCATTTATTGGACCAAGTAATTTGAAATGCTATTTATGATCTCAATAGAATTCATGGTTCAGTTAGCTGATATATGCAAAATGCTTTAAAAGATAATGCTTGTAAAAAGAATAAGCTTGTTGATATAAATACTGAGATACTCTGCCAAGAACACATTATAAGCACAGTCTTTAATTTTTTTTAACATTGTTTTCATACATACAGAAACACATGGTATTTTCCATGTTAGGTAAAAGACAGGGGAAATTTTTTATTATTTTGTAATATTGAATTGTTTGCAGTGGTAAATAACTAATAGGTATACTGTTAAAAACAGTTAATTTGAAATAAACCACAGTCAACAGTCTTTACCCTTTGCATGGTTTGTATTTTCCTGTTGGCTAGATCATTACATGCCTCTACTTTTCATTGGAAGTTGTACTCTCTTTCCCACTATGTAGTCCAAGTATTTTTAGGAAAGTTTGTCTCTCTGATTTAGGTTGGAAGTTAAAGATAAAACAGATGAAGTACATTTGCTTAGTGACACATTAGCAAGTGAACAGAAAAAATCCAGAGAGCTCCAGTGGGCTTTGGAAAAAGAGAAGGCCAAACTGGGGCGCAACGAAGAACGAGACAGAGAAGAACTTGAGGTATTGTTATCTCTGTCTTTAAATATCTGTGGAAAATCCAAAATGAAAGAAAAATGAGAGTGGAGACCTTTCTCTTTCCAAAAGGGTCAACTTGGAACTCTTTATGAGGTGTAATGAGTTGTTTGCTCTGTACTGAATACGATTATAATGTTATGTAAACTATACTAGGGAATGCTAGTAGTGTGATGCTTTTTTGTTTTGTTCTGCTACACCCAAGGATGCATACAGACTGTCCTCCTGCAACATGTGTTTTGGGAATTTGAGTTAGTATATATACAATTCGATAAATAGGGCAGTCATGCCGGTTTAATGCAGAAGTAGTTTTGGTTCCTGTGTTCTCATAGGGAAGGGGAGCAGTGATACTATTCTGGCAGCAGGAGCCCCTGCTGCTATAGTTTAAGGAAATTTAAAATGAGTTCCTTCCCACTGGGCTGATGCCAGGTTGCGGGCACATGCAAGAATCAACCAATGAATGCATCAATAAGTGGAACAATAAATGGATCTGTTTGTCTCTTTCTCTCGCTCTCAAATCAATAAATTAAAAAATTAATAAATAAATAAAACGATTTAAAAATCTGTGTAGCCTGCATTTCTGCCATATTACTTTTGAGGGTTACTTTTTAAGGTCCACTATGGCAGCCTGTAGGCTTAGTGAGCTCTCTGCCTGTCAGAGGCATGTCATCTTGTCAAGCACTGATTACTGTTTTATAGCACTACAAATCTGCATGGGCTTTGAGTAGTTTGCCCCTAAACCTGATTTCCCCCTTACTTTACTGTTTTTAGTAAGTGATATTGGAAAACACAAAGTTTTTCAGGAACTCATATCAAGAACTCATATCAGAAATATTTGTATTTTTAAAAGTTACTGTTTCTAGAAGAAATATACCCTGCTTCATATTCCTAAACCAGATATGGTTAATGTTAGGAGAGAAAGTATGACTTAGCTTAGCTATCTTTTGTTTATATTCTTTGATGAAAATCACCTAGCTGTCTAAGTAATAATGCTCTAAGCACTGAAAATTTAATAAACTGGATAATCAGTGCTATTACCAAATACTACCAACTTAATAAAAGCACAGTTGTGTACTTATATTTTTAATAATAGTAACAAATTCTTAAAATCATTTTCTCCTACAAGGATCTGAAATTTTCACTGGAGAGTCAGAAACAAAGGAACATTCAGCTAAATCAACTTTTGGAGCAACAGAATCAACTACTAAACAAATCACAGCAGGAAATAGAATCACAAAGAGTGCTGTATGATGCCCAGCTAACAGAAGAACGAGGTCGAAACTTAGAGCTTCAAGTGCTGCTTGAATCCGAGAGAGTCCGGATTCGGGAGATGAGCAGTGCCCTGGACAGGGAGCGGGAAGTGCACGCACAGCTGCAGCGGAGCAGCGATGACACGGGGCAGCCTCGGCCCTCCTTGCCCTCTGAGGACCTCCTCAAAGAGCTGCAGAAGCAGCTAGAGGAGAAACACAGCCGCATAGTAGAATTGTTAAATGAGACTGAAAAATACAAACTGGATTCTTTGCAGACAAGACAGCAAATGGAAAAGGATAGGCAGGTTCACAGGAAGACGTTGCAGACAGAACAAGAGGCCAACACAGAAGGACAGAAGAAAATGCATGAGCTCCAGTCCAAAGTGGAAGACCTTCAGCGTCAGCTGGAAGAGAAGAGACAACAAGTTTATAAGTTAGACCTTGAAGGAAAGCGACTGCAAGGAATTATGCAAGAATTCCAGAAGCAAGAACTGGAACGAGAAGAAAAGCGAGAAAGTAGAATTCTGTATCAGAATCTTAATGAGGTAAAGTGACACTTTGTTTTAAAATATTTTAAAAGAATATTGCAGCCTTTGATCACACAATTTTGATAATGGATTAAATTATCTAAATAGCTATGTACAAATCATTTTAAAACAAAATCTAGTGATGTTTCTTTGGAGTATAAATAATACAACATGTCCTCAAATACCATTGTGCCACTCAACTTCATTTTGTTATAACAGTGATGAGATGCAGTAGGAACTTAAAACTCTTGTTTATATCAATTAGCCTATAGTGAAATTGGTGTCGTCATGTATTATTTTACTTAAAGCCGCAGAACCTTTCAACAACATTGAGAGCTTACTGTAAATTGTGTTCCCTTAAGAAAAAAATGCTGTTCATTTATAATTACTGCTTTTTCTTTTTCTGTCCAAAATTGCAGCCAACCACATGGAGTTTAACCAATGATCGAACTAGAAATTGGGTTCTTCAACAAAAAATAGAAGGAGAGACAAAGGAATCAAGCTATCCTAAACTGATTGAAATGAATGGCAGAGGAACCAGCTATAATCATGAATTAGAAATAATCAAACAAAAGCTTCAACATGTGGCTTCAAAACTACAGCACCTCGCCCAGAAAGCCTCCAATAGGTTTGATTTTTCTGCCTGACATTTGGAAGGAGCATTCTTAGACCATCTGGACAGAGTCTGCCCCTCATTCATAGTTAGCCAAGGGTGGGGAATTGAAATTTTAAAATGAATGCCTGCTTACATTAGGAGGTGGTATTTTCTAACAAAACTCATACACCTGAAAACAAATATGTTAACACCTTGATCCAGGGAGAAAGAACACTTAATGTAAAGGAGAAGTGATAGGCAAAACAGTGTTTCCCAATCAGTAATGTTTGTGCCAGTCAACACCACTGATTAAGGTGTTTTGACTTTTTGTCTTTTTTTTTTTTTTTTTAAGACTACAGTTTGAAGCAGCAGATGATGAAGATTTCATTTGGGTTCATGAAAATATTGATGAAATTATTTTACAACTACAAAAATTAACTGGCCAGCCAAGCAAAGAGGTATGACTTAAAAACCTTTCATGAAATATTGAGAGCAAAGGTTTAATGGAAATTATATGAGTCATTTGAAACTGGCACTGTATTTTCTAAAGAGTTTTACATTTTCATTTATTGTAAATATTAGTAATGTTTGCTTCCCCCAATAAAAGTTGGTGAAAGGTTGAGGAAATTAATTTTCATTATCATTATTGAACAATTGTGTGTACCTCTTGTATTATATCCAAGTTTCTTGAAAGGTTAGTCTGGCTGCGCCCCTCAGCACTCTGTGGACGTTACCAGTGTCTCCACAACTGACTAACGTGATGAATCTTTTCAGCCCCTGTCTTTCTTGACCTCATTGTCTTTGTAGCATTTGGTACTACATCTTCCACCTTAACTCTTTCTTTACTTTTGTGTCAGTGTTCTCTCACTTTCTCCATTCTTTCATCAGTTACCTTCATGAGTTCCTCTTCCTTCTACCCACACCCATTGTTTTCCTCTAACTGTAGCTGTGAAAGCTTATTCATGTGTGCAGCCTGAGTTTTTCAGTTGTTCATTTATTGAACAAATACTTACATTGGGCACCTACTGTGTGCCAGGTATTACCCTGGATTCTGGAGATAACAGTAAATAAATCTGATTAAAAAAAAAAATCTCACCCTTATGAAGCTTACATTCTAGTGGACCACCTTTGTCCTGTAGCCCAGGTGTGTATTTCCAGTTAGTTATCAGACATCTCTCTTTGGGGAAATGTACCCCGTAACGACCCGTTAGGAACTTCACAGGCACATTCCAAACTGTGCCTTATTTTCCTTTTCTGCTTCCTGTCCCAAACCCACATTTCTGGTCATGATACCACCAGTTTGGAAAGCTGAAAGCCACCATAGCCCACCTTGCTTCACTGTTAGTTGCATGTCCAAGTAGTCACTAAGTCCTGTGCTTCCTGCCTCCCAAACACCTGTCCTGTGAGCCCTAGTCGTTGCCTTCCTTCAGGCCTTCACATTTCTCTCCTAGATTGTTGCGATAACTTCCTGATGTGTCTGCCTGACACCGGGATTTATCTTTGCTAATCTAATCTACTTTACACACTTTTACCAAAGAAATCTTTCTAACACGTAAATTTTGTTTGAGGCATGCTTATGCCTAAAGCCCTTCGTGGCTCTCCACTGCCTGCATTTAAGTCTGTTGTGCATAAAGTGAAGGCAGCCTTTACTCTAGCCTTATCAAGCAGCTGTAGCCCCCTAAAGTCACACTCTTGCTCAAGCCTTTGTGCCTTTTTACATACTGCTTCTTCTGCTTAATAGGCCCCTCCCTGTCTCCTCTCCTGCCTGGTAGATTCCTATTTATTATTTAAGCCTCAAAGCAAGCACCACTTCTTCATGAAATTATTGTTCTTAGGGCTGTCCACATTTTGTATGCATTATTTATAGTGTTAGTGTTTATGCAACTTCATGTCTGTTTTATCTTCTAGCCTATCTTAGTACCCCCAAGTACCTCTTGTGGCTCATTAACTGAAAGACTACTGAGACAAAATGCTGAGCTAACAGGACATATCAGCCAACTGACCGAAGAAAAGAATGATTTAAGAAACCTGGTTATGAAGCTGGAAGAGCAGATCAGGTGGTATCGACAGACAGGAGTTGGCAGAGATTACGTACGTCTATTTTTAGCATGGCCACATATTAGAAGTAGTGCAAAGTTAGTTTCTGCTCTCTAGTTTCACCTCTTACCCTTGCCAAAGTAAAAATCTTAAGTATCTGATTCTTATTAGGATCCTTGGAAAATTATATAGGGATGACAACAACAACAACAACAACAATAAGAAGAATAACAATAATAGCAGCTATTGTTTTTTGGGAGTCCGGCACAGAATCTCGCTGTGCCAGGTTCTGGGTTTTATGCACTGAAAGTCTCTAATCCATACCTAGCAGCCTTGACATGAGAAAAGAGAAGTCAATAGTCAAACCAAGATCAACTTATCTCCAAAGACAGGCACTCTGCTGCCTATGAACTAACAGCAGACACAGGTTCCAGAAATGTTCAAATTTGAATTCTGGCTGTTCTCATCAGTTATATATCCATTACTATGTTCAGAGCTCCAGTGAAAGATGTCATTAAATTATATATTTCAATTTAATAAACTAGTCTGGGAATTTACTCAATTTTTTTTTTATTTAAGAACTTCAAAATAAATTTCTAGCTCTTGTCATTACCCAACATACAGATAAGAAAGACCTGTAAGACCGCTGTGCAGTCCAACGCACAGTGCACATCGACGCAGCTTCTTTAGGGTCCACTCCCCCGGGTATGTGCCAGGCAGTTTCTCCACGTTTCTCCAGGGCACTAGGGCAGGTTCATACTCGACACTTGGGCCCAGCTGGTCCATCTGTTAAATCTCTAGGCTTTTTCATTTCAAAGTTTTGCCAAATCTAAGCACCTTTTCTGAGGTTTAGGCTTGCAAGAAGATTTTTAATTGCAAAATTAACCTGCTCAGGAAAGGACCACATACTTAAAGTTACTGTATATTCTTTACTGTCAGTTGAGATTGGCTTTGAATGCTCCCTGACTGAGGTTGGAAAGCCAAGACTTCTCTGTTTCCCATGGTGATACCTCTAATATGTTTAGATCTGGTTTTTCTTTAGAGACTTGCTCTTAAAAATCAATTAAGTAGGCTCCGGTCTCTACAGCCTTCTAGGTTTTCATTCAATGTTGGTGCCAACATTGAAGCCATCATTGCTTCTGAAAAAGAAGTCTGGAATAGAGAAAAGTTGGCTCTTCAAAAATCCTTGAAGAGGGCAGAAGCTGAAATATACAAACTGAAAGCTGAACTAAGAAATGAAGCTTCACTCCAGACCCTGAGCCCTGACCCCGAGCACGCCAGTGTAAAGGTAGGAGGCATCCTCCACGTAAACACATACGCGGTGAAGCTGGGTTTCTGCTTTCGCCTTGTTTTGTCTCACTGACCTTCATTCTGCAGACAAAAATTTAGATGGCACTCAGGCTGTATCTGTAGGTCTCTCTGTTCAGTCTTTGTCATGAGTGCAGGTCTTTAGCTGGTCACAAAAAAATAGTGGCAAGTCATGCTCAGATCTGGGACCAGATTAAGCTCTGTTTATGGTTACAGTTGGAAGCACCTGAGCTCATGGTTCTAGTTCCCACAGTCTCACCCCTTCATTCCTAATGACCAACTATGTTTTCCACTCCCAACAAAAAGTCTACTACTGTCAATATCAGGTTGTCATGCTCTATAAGACTAAGATGTCATGCTCTCTTAGTAGGCTCTCTGCTGGCCAATAATGAGTATTGTAGTAAAACTACCTTAGTCAGCTAACATAAAATCCAAAACAAAAAGAAAGAAAAGTGTCTGGAATATTTATTCCAGCTATGGAATAACATGAATTTATGACTCTTCAAGGGACAGAAAACATTAACAATGAAAAAGTGAAATAGATTAGAGACCATAATAATAAAAGTAATTCTATACAATTAAACTTAAAAACTCAGACAATGATGGACTAACAAAAACTTTGGCAATAAATATGGTGAATAGGGACTAATATCCAAAATAAAAAGCATAACTATAAGGTTATAACTATAAGGTACTCAGGTTCCATAGACTAAAAAGAGGCAGAAGTGGGAGGTTGAAATTAATTACCTTTACTTTCAATTTTGCTGTTAAGGTAGAAAACAGTGATAGGGTACCTGCCATTCTACAACTTATATTACTATTTTTTAAAAATAAAATCTAGGTTATCTTCCCCTAGAGATCGTGTTGAATGACTTCTTAATAATGTCTTATATTCTTCCCTTCTTCAAATGTAGAAAATTTATGGTAAATACCTGAGGGCAGAGAGTTTTCGGAAAGCTCTCATTTACCAGAAGAAATACCTGCTGCTGTTACTCGGTGGCTTCCAGGAATGTGAAGAGGCCACCCTGGCTCTGCTCGCCCGGATGGGGGGGCAGCCAGCCTTCAAGGATCTAGAGGTGATCACCAACCGTCCGAAGGGCTTCACCAGGTTTCGGTCGGCTGTCAGAGTGTCCATGGCAATTTCAAGGTAAAATACAAGAAATAAAATTCATTTTAATAGACTCTTGTGTCTTTTCTCTCTGCCTGTGGTGCTCTGTATTCATGTAGTATGAGACATTTCCTCAGAAGTGCCTGCTGCTTTCTCAGTGTCCGCCCCTTTAGCGGGGATACTTTATGTGGCCCTCTAGAGACCCTGTGGGAAGGGCTGTCCTGGATGTGGGCAGCTGGTGGCTCAGAGCTGACACATCCAATCTAGACTGTCTGTTGTTTTTTTTTTTACCTCTAAATCTGAATAAGCCCTTGAACTAGTTCAGGCATATAAAGAAGAGGGGGAAATGTTTTTGAAAAATTACAGAGAGAGAGGGAGGCAGAGAGAAAGAGAGAGAGAAAAACATTGATGTGAGAGAGAAACATCAATTAGTTGCCTCCCTTTCACACCCCAACTGGGGATTGAACCTGCAACCTAGGTATGTGCCCTGACTGGAAACTGAAACCACAGCCTTTTGGTGTACGGGGACGACGCTCCAACCAACTGAGCCACCCGGCCAGGGCCATACCATACATTCATTTTCTTGATTCCTAAAATAACCCCCCTTGGGGCCCAGCTTCGCCTAACTCTGCATCAGGCCAGAAATTAGCCTTTAGGGCATTGGACTCTGCTGCTGCTTTCATCACTCTTTCTCCAGTAGTCCCAAGCTCGGAACTATGGTGCCTGTCTCTCTGTCCGGCTGACATGGAGCCAGGGCTCACACTGCCTTGGGCACCTGGCCTTGTACAGTCGTGACATGAGTGGTACACACCCAGGGCCCTAGGCTTCTCCATGCTTCCCCTCCCTTTTATTTCTGTAGGAGCCAGACAGTCTCCAAGGAATTTGATTTTTAAAGTGTTCCTATCAGGTCACATCTGGTGTGTCTTCAGAGGTTTTGCTCTTTTTTCTTTACCAATTTTTTTTTAATGTGGCTCAGTTTTTTAACTAGAAGTTGTCTGAGGTCACGTAGTCCAGGCTCATTTCACAGATAAGGAAATTGAGTCAGGGAGCAGTTGCAAAGCCAGCAGTGACAGAACCCATCCCAGTCCCTCCCTTCCTCACCTAGTACACCCTGTACAGAGTGAAGTGCTGCGAGAGGCACTGACACAAAAGATAATCCCTGCCTGCGTTGCTGAAGGCAGCTCACTCCTAGGGGGGAAGACCAGTATGCACCCGCCTTAGAAGATGCTCAGTGAGAGGCCACGGGAATGAACCATTCATTTTGATGAGAAGAATTCGGGTAGTCTGCCTGAAAGCCAGTTGCCATTGAAGGACTTCACTCTGCCTCCTTTTCTTTTCCTCTTACATGTTCATTGTATTTTGACCATCCTAAAGCTGAGCCTTGAGACAGGTTGGAATCATGAAATCAAAATTGGTGCTTCAGAAAGCTCATGCCAGGACCAGTCAGGCAGCGACTCGCTACAGCTTGTTTGTGACCCTGCCATCCTGTCCCTTTGGAAGCCAGCATTGCTTCCTGTCCCTGATGACGTGGCCTCACTCCCCCTCCAGCTTCCCCCACTCCCTCTTACTGCCAATAATGGTCTTTTGTCCTCTCTTCATCTCATCTGCCCTTCAGTTTCCATTATTTTTCTTCTCTTTTCATTATTTCCCACTCATTCTTGGACCTTCCACTTTTCTTTTTTCCACTTTTGCCTTCCATCTCTTCAGCCCTGCTTACTCCTAAAGCCAGAACTGACATTGGCAACACAAGAGACTTTTGCTGCTTCTGGGGAAACCTTGTTCTCCTCCTCCAGTTAGTTTTGCCACACACCAGGGTGACATTTGCATAGTATTAGATTAGGCAATCATGTGATTTTGAAATTGGTTTCACATAATATTTAGATGTATGACTTGATTTTTGTGTGTGAAGGGTGTATTTATAATCTCTATAGATAATGCCATGACATTTTTTTCTGGGATATTTCTTAGAATGAAATTTTTGGTTCGACGATGGCATCGCGTCACAAGTTCTGGTTCCATCAACATTAACAGGGATGGCTTTGGACTGAATCCAGGTGAAGTCAAAATAGAATTTTTTTCTTCTGTTTATGGTTGTCTGAAATTACTGTATGTGTTGTACCTTCCAAATAATGTTGTCCAAAGACAGAGCTCTTATTACTAACAAGCCGAGGACCTCACTGTTTTAAAGAGTAATAATAGCTGATTTTCGTGGAGCACTTAGTCTGCATGAGGCCATGCTTTTTCCATTTGTTCTCCCAATCCTGTGATGTAGGCACAGTTACTATTATCACTTTACAGATGAAAATGGAGGCATGAAAAGCATCTGTCATTTGCCTCGGGTTCCCCAGTAGGAAGTGGTGGAGCCAGCATCGCACCCGGGCCATCTGGAGGCAGAACCTGCTCTTCCCATGATTTCATTTAAGGCTCTGGTTCAAGATAGGCTTGCAGTTCTCAGTCATATGGAAGAGTTACAGTTTGAAGGTTTTACAGTTTAGAAATATTCAAACAGGTTTCTGAGTTTACCAATAGATTATATAATAATGGTTGACAGTTCAAATTCCTTGTCTCTATTTCTAGGAGTGGAAACAACCATTAAAGCATCAACATTTCAGGCATAAAGAGGGGAGTACAAAGCATTGCAGACACACCCTAACTGTGCTGTGTATCGCTGTTAAACCACCTGTGTATCTTCTACCAGTAGCTTACACGAGCAACAGAGAAAAAGGAAATATTTGGTGTCCTAAGCAAAGTATTTTGAAATATGAATCTAAGTTTACACTGAAACAGCTGAAATTTGTGTCATGATGAGTTCTGTGTCTTAAGTTAGTAAATCTTGATTTCAGGTTTTTTCTAATAAAGTCACTAGAATAGCTTGGCTACATTAGTCTAGTATTTTTTTTAATCCACATCATCTTTTCTCCTAAACCATACATAACTCAGGCATGCTTTACCTAATCCCTAGTTATAACTAAGTAGTTTAATAGTTTATTTTCTCTGAGCTGTAGTTCTAGGTTAGCAGAAGTACTCATTGAAAGTTAAAGTAACAGATGTCCTGGTTTTTCTCTCCTGCAGCAAGAATAATTGAAAACAACTATAAATAGGAGATAGTGGAGTAAGGCATAGTAATCTTTTGAGCCTTTATCTGTTTTGTAGAAATTTTTCAAGGACTTGGTATTTGTTTTTAACAAGGTACCTTTTGCATGACTTCAGGTGCTGAAAAGACTGACCTATTTTATCATTCTGCTGGTGGCCTGGAACTGTATGGAGAACCAAGGCACGCTACCTATCGTTCAAGATCAGATCTGGACTATCCGAGGTCTCCTTTACCATTTCAAAATAGGTAAGAATTTGATAAAACTTGCTCAGAGTAGTTAAATATACTAATACTTAATAGAGAACGGACAGTGCTAGGGCTTTGACTTCTTTGCATCGAACTAATTATCTTCATGTATGTGTGATTTACGTAACGGTCTCCATGGGTGTAAGAAACAGTTTATCAACTGTTATTTAGTGAATGTTATGGGTTAAGCTTTGGGAAGAGTATTGACTAAAATTGATAGTCTCTGGACATTATGGAAAAAACCTCAAAGACTTGAGTTTTATATAAACGCATGACAAGATGCGTTTATATAAAATGCAGCATTTATTGAGGACCTCTGTGGCAGGCATTGTACTGGACATTCGTATGGTGACTTAGTCGCTGCTGCTTTGAATTTATTGAGGAATTTTTACTGTTATACAAGCTCAAAAGTATGGGGGATACAGATCAGGCAGTGCACCACTGGTCTGCCTTTTGAGGGCAGGGTGGAGGCTGCTGGGTACTTGCCTTGTTTCTGGATAGTTTGGATTCATGTGTATGTTTTTCTCATAGGTACCCAGGCCCTCCAGCTGATTTTAACCCTGCTTCCTTAGCATGTTCCCAGCTTCAGAATTATGACCCCGACAGAGCCCTGACAGATTATATCACTCGGCTAGAGGCACTGCAAAGACGGCTTGGAACTGTGCAGTCAGGTACTCTGAGCCTGGCTGTTGGCGTGCGGCCAGTGTCCTCCCTAGATAGACCCGTAGCTGTCCCCCTGTTAAAACCCCTTGACCTTCCTCATTCAGATAATCAAATCTTACAGTTCAATGCATGAGTTACCAGGTGAGACTTAGGAATTTAAGACAAGACATGATTAATCACCCCAGATCCTACTCCTCCCCAGAAAGATTCCCTGCTGTCTTCATTCAGCGGATTGATAAGATGAAATGCACAGTGAGGCACTGGTCAGGTAGATCACATGGGTAGAGTGGTGTCCCGGTAGACCAAGGTTTTGGGTTCAGTCCCCTGTCAGGGCACATACAAGGAGCTACCAATGAATACATAAATAAGTGGAACAACAAATCGATGCTTCTTTCTTTCTCTCTCTCAGTAAATTTTAAAAATAAAATAAAAATAAAAATCTGTTTAAGTATGAAGACTTTAGGAAAACAAAAAGCATTATTTTTAAATGGAGGGTAATAGTAAACTTCTGCCCTTTATGAACTACTCAGTCTGGTATAGGTAACCATCTAATTCGAAATCATTTAAATATCCTGGTTTTCTCTCGTAGGTTCAACTCATTTTCATGCTGGCATGAGAAGATAATCCTTTGAAATCGAAGTGATTTTAAACAAATTCCCTTTTGTAATCCAATGGTTCTTTTGTGCTTTTGTATTGTGGATATTCAACGGGACCAACATGAACACAGCTTATGATTGTATACAAATCCCTTGCCAGCACATGAAAACAAACTGGAAGTTGTACATAGAAGCATTGTGTATGTATTCATGCACAATAGTCCTTAAATTACATGTGTATTTGTGGAATGCTAATTTAAATGGTTAAATTATAAACCTGGTGTATTTATCAAATGGGTGAAAAGATTAAACTTTTGCGCATTATGACACTGCTGAATGTGTGGCTTGAGGTGTCCTGCACTTTTCTTATAAGGCTACTGAAGTTACCTGTTTCTGCCTAATATATTTGCTACTGGTGATGATGACAGATATCACTTGTAGAGACCTATTTTTGTATAATGGTAGAAGTTTTGACTTTTATGGGGTATTTTGTCAAGTACTGAAATAAAAATGACTTCACCATTTTAATCACACTGTATTTGAACCCTCTTCATTTTCAACCACGCCATAGTCCCTGGTGCATGTCTCAGTCCATTCTGGCTGCTCTAACAAAATACCATAGACCGGTTGCCTTACGAACAACAGCAATTTATTTTTTCACAGTTCTGGAGGCAGGGGAGTCCAAGATCAGGGCCCCAGCAGACCACATGACTGATGGGCCCTGCTTTCTCATTCATAGACTGCCGTCTTCTTGCTGTGTGCTCATAGGGCAGGAGGGGCCAGGGAGCTCTGTGAGGTTTCTCTTATAAGGGCACTAACCCTGTTCCTGAGAGCTCCCCCAAGGTAATCCCCAAAAAAGGCCCATTTTGACTACCAACAAATTGGAGATTACAGAAGGTTTCAATATATGGATGGGGGGAGGGGCACACAAACATTCAGTAGAATCGTTACTCATCTGTGTGGAACTTCAACATTCAGAAAGTTGTCCTAATCTAATAGATACCATTGGGATTCTTCTCCTGCCATTGAGGAAGAATTTTCCATTTGCCTTTGTATCAACTTTACATATATGTAAAGTATCGTTATAAAGCTATTGATATAGTTATTTTCATGATTAATCCTTATTTGCCCTATTATATTTAATGTTACTTGTGTCCAAAGGAGTATCCTCACAAAGCCATGCCCACTGAGATGATGCAGAATTCATTTAACTCAACCTTAAATTTTATTAACTACAGTACAATAGAATAGTTATTTCTGCTAAGCCAAATACAAATTGGGAATCCATAGCAGAGATAATATAAACCTCAATGTTAGTTTTCTTTTTTTCCTTTTTTTTTTATTTTATTGATTATGCTATTACAGTTGTCCCATTTCTATTCACCCCTTTATTCCCCTCTGCCCTGCACCCACCCTCCCATAAGCATCCCACGCCCCACCCCCTTCGCCGCTTAGCTCCTATCCATGGGTCATACATACAAGTTCTTTGGTTTCTCCATTTCCTATACTATTCTTAACCTCCCACTGTCTATTTTGTACCTACTGTTTATGCTGCTTATTCCCTGTACCCTTTCCCCCATTCTCCCCCCTCCCCTCTGATCTCCATTTCTGTGATTCTGTTCATACTGTAGTTGTTTGCTTAGTTTGTTTTGGTTTTTAGGTTCAGTTGATAGTTGTGAGTTTGTTGTAATTTTACTGTTCATAGTTTTTTATCTTTTTCTCAGATAAGTCCCTTTAACATTTCATATAAAAAGGACTTGGTGATGATGAACTCCTTTAACTTGACCTTACCTGGAAGCACTTTTATCTGCCTTCCCATTCTAAATGATAGCTTTGCTGGATAGAGTAATCTTGGATGTAGGTCCTTGCCTTTCATGACTTTGAATATTTTCTGCCAGCCCCTTCTTGCCTGCAAGGTTTCTTTTGAGAATTCAGCTGATAGTCCTATGGGAACTCCTTTGTCACTCACTCCTTTTTTCTTGCTGCTTTTAAGATTCTCTTCTTATCTTTAATCTTGGGTAATGTAATTATGATGTGCCTTGATATGTGCTTCCTTGGGTCCAACTTTGGGACTCTCAGCTTTCTGGATCTGCTGGAAGTCTATTTCCTTTGCCTGATTGGAGAAGTTCTCCATTATTTTTTCAAACAAGTTTTCAATATCTTGCTCTTCCTCTTCTCCTGGCACCCCTATGATTTGGATGTTGGAACATTTAAAGCTGTCATGAAGGTTCCTAAGCCTCTCATTTTTTTGAATTCTTGTTTCTTCATTCTGTTCTGGTTGAATGTTTACCTCTTCCTTCTGCTCCAAATTGTTGAGTCCTGGTTTCCTTCCCTGCACTGTTGGTTCCCTGTATGTTTTTATTTCACTTTGTGTAGCCTTCACTTTTTCCTCCATTTTGCAACCATACTCAACCAATTCGGTGAGCATCCAGATTAGCAGTGTTTTGAACTGTGCATCTGATAGGTTGGCTATCTGTTCATCACTTAGTTCTTTTTTTGGAGCTTTGATCTGTTCTTTCATTTGGGCCATATTTCTTTTATCTCAGCACACCTGTTACGTTGGAAGGGGCAGAGCCTTAGGTATTTGCCAGGGTGGGGCAACCCAGGTGACTGCGTTTTGACGCTGTGTGGGGGAGGGTCCGAGAGGGAACGATGGTGCTTGCTCGGCTCTGGGCCAGCTTTCAGTCACTTCCCCAGCTACCCATAAGCAAACTGGGCCCTTCTGGTGCTGTTCCCTGGGTGAGTGGGTTTGTGTACATTGTAGGATCTCATGGGTCTCTCAGTGGGCTCTCCCATGAGGCTGGGAGTTTCTCTTGCTGCTGCAACCCCCACAGGTTTTTACGGCCAGGGGTTTCGAAGCTAACTTTTCCCCAAGCTGGAACCCTGGATTGTGCTGTCTGTCTCGCTCCCATTGTTCCTCCTGGATTATCAGCATGCAAATGTGGGACCGCCTGGTCCTCCAGCCACCGCCTGGCCATGCGTCCTCTCCTCCCTGGCTGCCCGTCTCCACCCCTCCTACAGGTCTGAATGTTTTTTCTTTAGCTCCTTTGTTGTTGGGCTTCCGTACAGTTCGATTTTCTGGTAGTTCTGGTTGGTTGGTTTTAAATTTGTTGTCCTTCTTTTGGTTGTGCAAGGAGACAGTGTCTCTACCTACATCTCCATCTTGGCCAGCCCAATGTTACTTCTTAATTGGTATCCTCCCTGATAACCTGGCAACTCATTGAAACAGCAATAACAGGAGTTGATGCTTATAACAGATTTCTGCCATACTATTTGGTATATTCTCTGATTTATACCAATACAAACAGGCCATGGAAACAAATCGTACATCCTTGAAGATTTCACAGTACCTAAATTTTCCATTAGCAGCTGGGTTCCAGTAAGAGTTCTAGAAATGACGACGGTATTCTAAAATAGATAGTTGAAGGTGAGGGTTGTGGGCGGAACCTTTCACAGCTTGCCAGTCAGGCCTCTTTTGCTCTGAGAAAGAAAGCAGCAGATGGACAAGTGCTCTGATTGATCTCTCCATTCACTCCCATTGTCTGACCGTGAGCCCTCTTTATGACATTAGAACTTTGCCATCAACTTGTTAATGCTTATCAATACTAAATCTGTGGTTAAAAACAAACCCTCTTAAAGACAAAAATAAACTACCCACTACACATAGACTAGCCTTTCCTCAGGGTTTCAACTTTATTTGTGCCATGAGCCTCTCCTTGTGAAACTTCTTAAAAACATAAAATACAGGGTCCAGCAAAAATAACACCCTTTTTTACTAGAAAATCTTTTATTACAAAATCAAATGCATGTAGTTTTGTAACATAATACCACACTCAAACACACCATATCACATTTTAGGTGAAATATTCAAATTAAAACTATAAATTAATAAACCTATATTCTTACCCTATCAGCCACACTCAAGCAGCTTTTACTTTTGCTAGACCCTGTATATAGAATTGTAAAGGAAACTGGTTATACCGAAATGGTCAAATTTTAAAAATTTTGCGTGACATAACATGTAAGTTTAAAGACTTAAGATCTAGCAGATCTAACAGCTACCATAATTTCAAAATAAGTAATGAGAGTAAAAGATACTTCAAGATCTACATCTGTAAAGTGATATGAAAATACCCGATTTCTGTTCACAATCAATGGGTTCTGCTAATAGTGTGATCTGTTGCCTAACTTCATAAATAAAGGAAATACTAAATTGCAATTTGAAATTAGTACAAATAAAGATGGAATTTTTTTTTCCTTTCAAGTTCCTAGATTCCTGAATTGTATCCACTAAAGCACACATACTTTACAATTCATGAATACAGACTATATTTTTCTCAAGGTAATTTTAATGTGAAGAACTAACAGCAGAAACAGCATTTAACATGAGTCCTCCAGCCTCCTAAACAGAAATGCTATACACACGAGGGAAAATATTTTGGCTTAGTAAAAACAGACTATGTAGTCAAACTTCAGGTATAAAAGACAGGCCCCCAGTTACAATTCGAGTTGACTCCTGAACACGGGCTTCACAGTCACAGAATATAACCAGGGATACTGCTGTCAAGGACCCTGCTTCATATTATCCTTAAAGCCAGTTACCTGCTCTCAAATTTTGTATTTAAAAAAAGTTTGTTGGCCTAAATTAAGTTTCAGTAAACAGAACTAATAACAAAAACATCCTAAATAAATTCTGGGGAGGAAGCAGGGAACCCATCTGCAGCCAAAGAGAACAAAAACTATCCCTTTGGGACTTTATTTTGGATTTTCACAGGGACATCACCATGTGGAACCAGAAACAAATGTATCAGATAAAATATTCAGTAATTCCATCAAGTTAATGAAGTCTTTGGAATTAATACTTATATTGCTGTTTAGGAAATGTAAGTCATTGTCGTAGATATCTCTCCATTTCCTATAGACAGTACTTCTTTCTATGGCATAGCTCCATTGCTATCATACCAAAACAGTTAATAGTATTCCCTTTCACCCAAGGTTTTAAATGTGAGTTTATTCCCTAACCACCAATCCTCACACATACAAACACTACCCCGTAGATGAATAAATAACCTATTGCTTCCAAGTATCTCAGTGGGCTTTTAAACTTGCAGATCTAGTCCAAAAGTTGAATACCCTGAACTTACTTGCCAAGTGCTAATTATATTTTTAAAACTAATACCTAAAAATTGTGTTATTTAGAATCTGCCAATAACCAAGATCCCCCTAAACAATTTTTACTAATGAGCTTGATTTCCTTAATTAAAGCATATGTAGTAAATACCCATCAAAAAACTAGTAGGAAATGTCTGAAATGCCATTAGATTTTATGGAACCATTCAGTTAAGAAAATATAAAAATCGTTAAGCTGGCTCTTTTAAAGTTACACACTAAGAAAAGAGTACACAGAGTTGTTTCATAAATTTCATTCTCTTCAAATGCTTTTGCTGTTTACAGTGGTATTACATGTTTTAGTTCCTTGCAGCACTTTTCATTTTGATCTTCGTTTGTATCGGATAACTGGGTTTTCAGGGGTGTGAATCATGGTTGTGTAATTCACAGTGGGAAAATATCCATCAATGAGATCAAATTCATATAAACGAAGCATAGTGGACCAAATTGTCTTGATTTGCATATAAGCAAAATTCTCCCCAATACAACGATGACGCCCTGTAAAAAAAGTTTTCATAAGAATCAGCTGAAATTCCTTCTCACATCTTTTAGCCTGCAGTGATGAAATTTGTTTAGTTACAGTTTAGGTGAAGAACACATACACAGATACTATAATAAAAAGACATTCTTTTCACATAACAAGAATATAAATCGTTAATAAAAATCCCAGGAGATTTTCAACATGTTTTTAGGGGAAACAGCACTGGGTAATTATATAATGACTCCCAATCACTTTTTATTAAACTTAACATCTATCTAGGTCAAATATATGCAAGGTTTGAAATATATGATGCTAATCTAGTTTAGCAATGTACTAAAATATTCTTACCATCTCTCCCAAGAGAGCCCTAGTTAGTTAAAAGTCTACATAAACCTTCCAATCAATGCCATTACAAATGATAGTGGAATAAAAAGTAATTTAATAAACCCAAAATGGAAACACATACTGAGATCAAAATTTGAAAGGTCATAATACAGATAAAAGATGACAAGCTAATTCTAAAGTCATTATGGAAATACAAAGGACCTAGGATATCCAAAGCAATCCTGAAAAAATGCAAGTTGGAGCACTTAAACTGACTTCAAGTCTGACTTCACTACTAAAGGTACAACTGTGATATTGTTAATTTGTAATATATTTGGTATTCCTCACAGTTGTTCCTTGGAACCTCTTAAGTGAAAAGAGGTGACTTTTGGAATGCCCCTCAGGAAGGAGTGAGAGGCACTGGAGGTTGAATTAATCACAAATAACCCATGATTTAATCAATCATGCCTACGTGATGAAACCTCCACAAAACTCCTTAAAACACAAGTGGTGTCCCGAGAGCTCCCAGGCGGGTGACACGTGCAGGTGCAGGCGGGGGGCGGGGGGGCCACTCCCAGAGAGGCCCTGGAAGCTTGCGCCCCTCCTCCATACCTTGTCCTAAGCATCCCTTTCTTCCATCAGGCAATTCCTGATTTGTATCTCCAGTCTAGTAAGTAAACTTTTCAAAGTTCTGTGACCCATTCTAACAACTTATGGAATCTCAAGGAGGGGACTGAGAGAATCTCTGATTTATAACCAGTTGGTCAGAAAAACAGGTAACTACTGGACTTGCAATTGGTATCTGAAGTGGAGGGAGGGGAGCAGTCTTGTGGGACTGAGCCTTTAACCGACGGGGTCTGTGCTAACCCCGGGGAAAGAATGTCAGAACTGGACTGAATTGTAGGAATGCAGACAGTGTCTGGAGAGAATTGGTATGGGGAAAATCCCCACATTATTTTGCAAAAGTGTCCCTATTAGGAAAGGGAAAGATATCTGTAAATAAAATTCACATGGATTATTTTTGTTTGTTCTGATAATATCTGACAATCTCTTCTCAGAATATTTCAAGTGTAAATATATTCATCTTACCAGCTCCAAATGGCACATAGGCAAACTTCTCTCCAGATGCTGGATTGTCCCCCAAGTAGCGATCAGGCTTAAAGTCTAGACGTTCACTCCAAGAGTCTTTAAGTCTTTGATTGACAGTGGGAGAAACACACACCTGATGTCCTGGAGGAATGGTATACCCTGCCACAACCTACAAATGAAAGCAAAACATTTCACTGATTTTAAAATATTCTACCAAATAATCAGATCATTGTGAATAAAGCATTAATATACCAGATATACGTATGTTTAAAAACTAGATGACAGGCCAGCAAAAAATTATTTAACTCAAGATGATTTCCAAAGGTTCCAAAATTGGGCTACAAGCCTATACACAAACAAAAAATCATAATGCCTCAGAGGTTGGGGGCAGGGGGGGAGGAGGGAATTTCAAGGAGTCTTTCATAATCTCATTTTTTACACTTTCATAGTTAAAACTTTTTTACAGCAAAATGTACTTTTAAAAATAAGGAAAAAATGTTATTTTCACTTGAAAACTCCAAATTTAAATAAAAATGCAGGGAGCAGATTAGCTGGTATACTGTCCACAATTATGTGAAAATAGATGCTTAGAATGTGTAAAATAAGGTAGAAGTGATTATTATTTCACTTTTTTAGTTTCAAAAATTCTTTCTGGAAATCACTTTTCTGATAAATTAAAATAGGGGCACGGAAGGGGCGATGTGACCAAGAGACGCACCTGAGGAGTTTTGACCATTCTCATCATGGTCATTACAGGAGGCCGGAGCCTTAATGTTTCTTTTATACAGCGATCAAGTAAATTCAGATCCTTGAGCTAAAGAGAGAAAACATTTCCTGAGTTTTACAAATATTTAACATCCTTCAACAATATTTTAACTTAAATATTATTTTATAAATTAAATTTTATTTAGTTAATTTTAAGTTAAAATTATTTTTTCTGGGCTATTACAGAATAGCTTATATTCTGAGTAGAAGTGCAGAGGTTGCTGGTTCAAGGTAGCTGGGGTTATGCTGTTCTATTACTGTCCAAGGTCAACAAGGAAAAGTGGGCAGGATAACAGGAAGAGAGGTGATCACACTGAAGAATGGGACAGTAAGGACCTACAAAAATTCATCTAAAAAATAAAAATAACAGCAAAAATCATCAATATCTGCTTTTTAAAAACCTGTATACAAATGTTTAGAGCAGAATTATTGCTAATAGCCAAAAGGCAGGAACAACCTAAATGTCTGTCAACTGTTGAATGGTATATCCATATGATGGGATATTACTGGGCAATAAAAAAGGCTGACATACTCATACATACTACAACATGGATTAACCTTGAAAACATGCTAAGTGAAAAATTCCAGTCACAAAATACCACGTATTGTGTGAATGTGATCATTTATACAAAATGTCCAAAAAAGGCAAATCCACAGAAAAACAGTGAAATATATATGAATTAAGCTATTATTTTAAAAGTTAAATCAGAAATGAAAGAGGAGACATTACTACTGATCTTACAGAAATAAAAAGTATTATAAGAAAATACTATAACAATTGTATGCCAACAAATTAGTTAATCTACATAAAATGGATAAATTCCTAGAAAGACGAACTACCAAAACTGACTCAGAAACAGAACATATGGGTAAGCCTGTAACAAGTTAAAGACACTGAAGTAGTAATCAAAAAACTTCCCACAAAGAAAAACAGACATAAATGACTTCTGAGGGGCAATCTATTAGACATGTAAGAAAGAATTACCACCAAGCCTTCTAAAACTCTTCCAAAAAATAAAAGAGAAGGGAACACTTCCAAACTCATGAGAATATTGGTATTACTGATACCAAAACCTATCAAAGACATCACATTAAAACTACAGATCAATATTCCTTATAAACATAGATGCAAAAATCCTCAACAAAATACTAGCAAACCAAACCCAGCATTAGGACATTTCAGGGAGGACTATGGGGAATTTTCAAAAAAACAAGCTAGTCAGATTAAGCTACAGTACACAGAAAACTCAAAATTGTCCCCTTTATTTTTTATATTCCTTTTTTTTTTTTTTCACTCACACCCACCCCCTACTCTTTGGTAACCATCAGCTTGCTTTCTTATCTATGGGTCTGTTTGTTTTGTTTATTCACTTGTTTTTTCAGATTCCACATATAAGTGAAATCATACAGTAGTTGTCTTTTTCTGTCTTATTTCACTTAGCATAATATCCTCTGGGCCCATCAAATACCCTCTTGTCACAAATATAAGACTTCACTTTTTTATTGCTGAGTAATTTTGGGGGGGGGTGGGGGTGTGGGGGTGTGGGTGGGTGGGTGGGTGGGTGTGTGTGTGTGTGTGTGTGTGTGTGTGTGACATCGTCTTTATCCATTTATATATTGATAGGTACCTAAGTTGCTCCCATATCTTGGCTATTATAAATAATGTTCTAGTAAACATAGGGTGCAGTATCTTTTTGAATTAGTGTTTTCGTTTTCTTCAAATAAATGCCCAGAAGTGGTACTGTTGAGTGATATGGCAGTTCTATTTTTAATTTTTTAAAGAATCCTCATATTGATTTCCACAGTGGCTAGGCCAGTTTATAATCCCACCAATAGGGATTATAAATCCCTATTGAGGGTTCCCTTTCCCCACAGCCTCACCAGCACTTATTTGTTGATTTCTTGATACTAGCCATTCTGGCAGGTATGAGTTGGTATATCTATCATTATGGGTTTGATTTGCATTTCCCTGATGTTAGTGATGCTAAACATCGTTTCATATGTCTGCTGGCCATCTGTATGTCCTCTCTGGAGAAATGTCTACCCAGGTCCTTGACCTGTATTTGAATCAGATTGCTTGGGTTTTTTTTTCCGTGTTAAGTTGTATGAATTCCTTACAAATTTTGGGTATTAACCCTTTATTGGATATATCATTTGCAAATATCTTCTGCCATTCAGTAGCTTGTCTTTTCGTTTTATTAAGCGTTTCCTTAGCTGTGCAAAAATTTTTTTGTTTGATGTACCATGTTTATTTTTGCTTTAGTTACTCAAATTGCCCCCTTTTAAAATTTAGACACAAACACTCAAATAAGGCAGCAATGTAAATGAAATTCCAACAAACCTGGTCATATGTTAAAGGAGGCAGATTCTCTCCACAGACTGTTTTCTGTTCTACATAACATTTTTCTTGAAGTGTCTTGTCTCTGGCCAAAAAGAAGCCCATCCAGGCACTCGTGGTTGAGGACGTGTGCTGCCCGGCCAAGAGCAGCCCGATAAGCATGCCGGCTATTTCGTCATCTGTCAGGGGACACCCATCCCTATGGAATGAGCCACACGCACAGGTTTAACCTTTTGGCAGATACATTTCATGCCTCAACCTTTAAATAAAGGGTCATAATGAATTAAAGTTTCAGGCATAACACTCTCTTGCATTTGCCCATCAAGGAAGAGACAACCCGATAGAAAACATGATTTTGAACACAAAAGACTTCATTGCAGTTTCCTAGCCAACTCTTCGCCATGCCCTGTCCCTGGGATGCCAGTACGGTACAGGATCCCAGGAATTTATGTCTCGTCCACTTAAAAAGTCCAAATGTCACAGTTACTAATTTTGTCAGCATCATTTAGCTATGTTTTAATGTGTAATCTCCTGCTTCAGCTTAGTATGTGATCTGAACAGCTCTTACTTGTAAGTAGAATCTAGTAATGTTTGGAGGATGTCATCAATTTTTCCTTCTGACTGTCTGCGTTTCTGGATTGCCTTATAAAAAATACTCTTGATCTCCCGATGAGCTCTGTCTCTGCGTCTGTAATTCAAAGATGAAAATAACTTCAAAAATAAAGCAATGCTTTCTGGCATCAAATTCCTTTTGAAAATAACCAGGTCTTTGCTTAAAGCAACCTTACTTAACTAACTTTAACGACTCTAAAATAACCGACAAAACTCAGAAGCAACAGGAAAAAAAGACACCATGAAAATCACATATTTTTAGGAATAGAGTCTCTCTAGAGTCTCTCAGGACAAAAACTATGTTTTAGCATATAGGTCCCTGATCCTTAACACAGTGCCTGTGATCTAACCAAAGGTCTAAAACGAGATTTGAATGACTCTTCCTTTAGAGCCAGTTTAACAGAGAGTAGTATATTCTTTTTAGGTTAACATAAAATTCCAATTTTAATTAATTCTTGAAGCAGATGGAGAGTCACTCTGGTTCTATAGGATCTAGGATGTGAAGAAGCCTAGGATTTATTTCGGATTATTTAAATATAAGATTTAGTTATTTATTTTTTAAAGATTAGCCTTTTTTTTTTTTTTAAGATGTTATTTCTTTATTTTTAGACAGAGGGGAAGGGAGGGAGAAAGAAAGGGAGAGAAACATAAATGTGTGGTTGCCTCTCACACGTCCCCCATGGGGACCTGGCCTGCAACCCAGGCATGTGTCCTGACTGGGAAGTGAACCAACGATCCTTTGGTTCACAGGCCGGCGCTCAATCCACTGAGCCACACCAGCCAGGGCTAAATCTAAGATTTAGGATATGACTGCAGCATACAGGACTTAATTCTACTTTTCATTTTCTGAGACATTAGTATTTAAAAATACTAATAGAGTCAGAAAACAAACCTCAACTCCCAAAATTTTACCTTTAAAAGAGGGTGCTCCCTAGGTAATGGGTACTGTGTTTTACATTAATTACGCACTTGGACCTCCTGCGAGGTAAAAGCTATCATCCTCTCTTCAAAGAGAGCCGCGTGCGATCACATAGCCAGCGTGCAATGGAGCCCAAATTTAAAACCAGGCACTCTTGACTACCTTGCCACCCTCTTAATCAAGCCTTCTAATAAAAAATTCCTGTCCTGCTTCATTTTTAAGACTGTTACTGTGGATAAAATGGGCAGAAGGGAAGAAAATGTTGAAGTTTAACAGTATGAACACAACAGAGCCAGGAAAATGTAAGGCCTGTTTAAAAAATGAATGGACCAATTTGGTTGAATCAGCTGCATCAAGCTAAGACAGAGACTGGGCTGGAAAGAGTGGTAAAGGGCCTATCACACCAAGCTCAGGAGTTTCTGACCCCACCCAGGAGATAAGGAAGGTGGAAACAGGCTCCATGCACATCTACGGAGAACCTACTCTAGGCCCAGGGCTGTGCTGGATATTTTAACATAATATGGGTGAAAGCATTTGGAAAACTGTAAAGCTCCCTACAAATGTAAAGTATCATGAATTCCAAAGAACTCAAGACCCTCACCTCGCTCTCCCTTTTAATCCCACCCCTCCTCATTCTGTAAGGACATGGAAGTGGCAGACACAAAAGGAAAAGTAACAGCTTAACTCCTCTCCATCTCTCATCCCAACAGAAAAGAATCAACGAAGGTACAGAAAGCCTACATATTAATATACAAGGCACTAAGCTACACATCAAGTTCTATGAGCAATATTTCTGAGATGATCCTTTCCATTTAGGTAATCAAACTACAGCTGACAAGGAGACAAAGAGAAAATTTTAAAATGCATTAATACTTCAAACAAACAAAAAAGTTATAATATACTACAAAATAGTCAAATGCTCTCAAATGAGTATTTATAGGGCCCTATCACTTTTTGGTAGTTTAGAGACTTTTCTGAGTACAAAGAATATGTGAGCATGTCATTAAAATATTAGAACAGATAGACAACAAATTATCTTTTTAATAAGCTGAAACCTTAAATGAGTTCACTATATAAAGAAAATCTGTCTTGAATTCTCATAAAAGAATGGGGGGGGGGCTCATAATCTCCCTAAATCTATTTGCTTAATATTTAATTTTTTTTATTTTTCAATTACAGTTGGTATTCAATATTACATTAGTTTCAGGTATACAGCATAATCTTGAGACATTTGTATACCTTACCAAGTGATCCCCCAGTTAAGCCTAGTACCCAGCTGGCACCATATGTAATTATTACATTTTGACTATATTCCCTATATTATACTACGTAACCCCTGTAACTATTTTGTAACTGCCAATTTGCACTTCAATTGTTTAATGTTTAATTTCTAACTCTGCTCACACAAAGCATACCAACACTATAGTAATTATACAAAGTTAAATCACCAAAGGTAGTGTCTTTATCCATACCTGAAACTAGGCAAAGGGAGCCAACCCGGCAATAGCCAAGCTGCATGGCTAAAACCTCCATCCAAATCTGCATACAGTTGTGCCACCTTCTCATTGAGTTGACTTCTGATTTCCTTGCCATGTAAACAATGGCTAGCTGTTAAAATTATGAGCTCCGAAAGAGCTTCAAACAAATCTAGAGGGGGGAAAGGTCATTCTCATTAACATTGCCAATTATTTTGAAATGTTCTGTTTTGTTAGAGATATAAAATTGTGAATGAAAAGAAAGAATGAAAACTTAACTCATTCTTTCCAACAAGGCCCTATTCATACCATCTAAAAAAGCTTATAGACAGATATGTGACTACTCTACCCAGCAAAACAAAGAGAGACAAGTCAGCAAATGATGGAAAGAAAGCACCCCTACCCCCACCCCTCTGGATAGCCAAAATCTATGCCACAAAGGCATCTCTAAACCTCACTCATAAGTCTTGCACCTTCAAAGGATAAAGATAAAAATGAATATGGCTGTCTCAGTCCAAAGTCAGAGTATAACAAAAGCAACAAAAAGGTTGGTTATTTAGTGCAGATGAGGACGATCAAGAGGTGCTTCCCAAGGAATAGCAGTCTAAAAACTGAAGAAGGGGTTATTTCCCAGGTCTAAAGTGGAAAGGTCAGAACTAAGAATTGAAGTCTTGACCACATATATAAAACTGTAACTAATAATTAGTTCATATAACCCAACACAGGGGCAGATTCATCAGGCAGGCATCATTTGGACGACATTTAAGTCATAAAATTTATCCAATCAGTACCATGTTCTTTAATTCCACGTTCACCAAATGAAATTCCAATTATCATCTGGCTATCCAGTTAGATTCACCAACAAAATGAAGTTCAGCAAATATTCTGGTATTCTTGGTGCTATGATTATGTCTCACTTGTATTCATTAACTTAGCATTCTTGTATACATCAGCTTCTTGTATGGTTAGAAATAGATCACATCAACCTCAGGTCTATTTTTTTTAAATCAAGTTTTTGGACCTTTTATAGAACTGAAGCCCAGACCCAGAACATGGTGACCTATACAGAGGTCTCATGGCCCCATTGGAAGATGCTGCCTCCTGCCATGAGTATGACAATTGTTTCTGGAGGCAACACTTACTGCAGTCCAATATAAAGACTGGATTCCCAGAAATAACCAAACATTGAGAACACTGTATAATGCAAGAATGCTTATAATACATTTTAAAAGATTTCTTCTGGAAAGGGCTAAAATCAAACTTTTGGTAAAGGCAAAGTAAGCTTATGTATTTAAATTTACTTTTTTAATAGAATTAATCACTCCCATATGACATTAGATAAATAAGGTGTTGCATATATAATTAATTCACTTAGACTTTTACTTTTACCCCATTGAGGGTAAAAAAAAATTATTTTATTTAGCTTAAAATGAACTTGCAAAAGTTTTACATTGTTTATTTAAAACTAATCATAAATCATTTTATATTATTTGTACAAATGAGCTGAATAATATACATGCTAATTAATCCATTTTAAGGTTTTGCTAGTGAGCAGCAAAAATCACTTCCTCTCAGGTTTTTTTAACTCCATGTTAACCGTAGCATGTTCTCTCCATTAATATAAGGTGGTTTTTCATTGTTATAGTTTGTTTTTTACACACACATACACGTATCCTTACATTTCTAGCTACAGAAAAGTAGAAATATTAGGACAAGTGCAAAACCAAAACATTTTGCTTACTTTTTTCTCCACTTTCTCCCCAACTTCGAAAGTATTCCTTTGTTTCATTTTCAATTATAGAAACATGCTGTCTAAAGTGGGCTATATTAAGGCCAGTTTTTAGTATTTTCTTCTGCTCCAAGAAAACCTTAAAGAAATTAAAGGCAAACAACATTAAAACAATTTTGTTTTATCACAAGATCCAAGATCCATTTGGAGCTCTGGTCAGGTAGCTCAGCTGGTTATAGAGCATCTACCCAATATGCCAAGGTTGCAGGTTTGATCCCCAGTCAGGGGACATACAAGAACCAACCAGTGAATGCATACATAAGCACAAGAACAAATCAATGTCTGTCTCTCTCTCTCAAATAAATACAATTTTTTTTTAATTTAAAAAAGATCAATTTGGGTTATAACTGTAACATTCAAAAGAAAATAATCTCAAAAAATTGAAAATAAAAATAGCACAAGGATTTTTAAAAACTACATTAGATATGGGAAACTTAGAGCATTTATGCATGTACCTGAAGGAACATGCAGAAGACACCCATTACACAGGCCCGAGACAAATGATAAATTAGGAATCGCACTTCCTGGCTTCCTTCCTATACACCCTTTTCCGACTTCTGACTCTAAGGCTCCCTTTTTCTATTTTGGTATTGTCCAACCTTCCAACCCAACCCAGATGCCAGCGCAACCTCCCAAAGGTCCATTATGTTCCAATATTTTTATGTCCCTTCACATTTCTCCTGTTCTATTCCCAAACAAGTATCATTCCTCACTGACACTATCTTCCAGAAGTTTAATTAGAATATAATATAGTCTTAGTAAAATGGTTTTAACACTTGGGGGCATTTCTATTTTAAGACTGACAAGCTCTGTGAAAAAATGGATGTATCTGACCAGAGGATTTTTCTAAGGCTCTGGTTTTTGGCTTTGAGAAGAGCCACTCATTTCCCCACAACTCCCCCACCCCCAGAAACAACACTTACTGTCAACTCTCTTAACTTCTAGACACTAGGGTACCGGGTAGTGTGTGATGCGTTCATAGCCAGAGCCCACACCAAACAACTAGGCCAATTATCTGATTTTTGTTTTACATCAACTTGCAGCACTTTAATATTTGACTCTGGCAGGGAGAAGAAATCCCACAAACTTCTAAAGTCAAATATCTCTAGCTCAAAAGAGCTCTTATGCTGAAATTCAGGCAGGAGTGGGAAGGCAGGAGGCCCTATAATGGGATTTTCTTGTTACCCTTTCAAATCAGATCCTAGTAAGCTAAGTCATCATTGCTTCTATTTCTTTGTATAGGGCACACTTCAAAATTGCTTAGCCCATGCCAACCTCTATAAAACAAAATACCCATTGTTTGTCAGTTACTCATGGCTTTCCTTTTAATTGCCTCATGATTCTTAGATTTTTGAACCAAGAAATAAACTGTTTCTACATTTTAAATGTACACTGTTACACTACTGGCTATAACTATTACAGTACAGGTTGATCTTTCTTGAAGATAACAGTGTCACCTACTGCATTAGGCACATCGTAAGCAACGCCCTTCCCAAACACAGGTGTTGTCAGGCGACCGTAGACATCTTCTGCATTCAGATCTTCATTTTTACTATTAAAAAGCAGTGCAGCAGCGTCACTTCCCAGAAGGTAAGTAAATGTTTTGCCCACCATCGTAAAACTAAACACAGGTCCATACTAAAGAGAAAAAAGTACCCACACTGATGTTACCAAAAAATATGGAGCAGTAAGACATTAATATCTCAAATCACAAAACAAAATGTTGAAAATAAAAACATTCATAACCTTTAATGCAATTCTTCCCAGTCTTTGTCCAAATTTATAATTATGTTCATTCTTTTGCAAATAATATGTGAATAAAATCTTCTATTCTGCTTTTTTCATTGTTTATATTGAAAATATTTTCTATCTTATACAGACATTATAATGTTAATAATTAACTTTTCTTTCATAATTGGACATGGTGATGTGTCGAATTTTTTACTTATTATATACAATTCTGCAATGAATATCTTTGAGAATGGAGATTTTTTTCCCCCTTAGTTAAATTTACAGGAGTAGCTAAAGGATATGACCTTTCCTACAGTGCTTACTACGTGAAGACACCAGAAGTTTATTTAGCTATCAGTTTTACCACTATCTCACACCAACAGTGTGCTTTAGTTCCCCTCATCTATAAAACTGGATTAATAGCAAATACTTTACAGAACTGCCGTCAAGATTAAATAAACATATATGTTAGAGAATATTATATATGTTACAGTATATATACACTCATATATAATGTTATACATGTATATTATATATTAGAGAAAATATATATATATATTAGAGAGCCCTGGCCATAATAAAAATTATATGTGTTTCTTTCATTATTATTATTATTACTAAAAGCATAGAATTAGAAATCAAACCATATGTAAATCCTAGCTTGGCCACTAGCTAGCAGTGAGCTTAAGAACAATTATATGAACTGTTTCTCAGTTTCATCATCTATAAAATGAATATACCTGAAGGGATTTATTGGACTTCAGTGAGATGATCTATATAATGCACTAAATACTGATACTAAGTATTTTATAATTACTAGTATAAAAAGAAAAGAGAATATGATTATATAGCCATAAATAGGTTTGTATGTTTGAAATTTTAATTTATTTCTAAAGGGGACACAAAGTTATCCTCTTCAATAGAAAGGTAGGAAGATTCAGAAATTTATAAAAATAAAGATTTGAATTAGTCACTGTGGTGAGTGGGAAAAGTAAGCCAACCACAAGAACATTATTAGGATTGTTGAGCAGTGTTCAAAATTCATTTAAGGTAGGAACTAATGAAATTAGGAAGGAACTAATCTGATGCAAGGAAGGAGAAAATGACTAACAGGTTCCCTCCAGGGTTGGGGTTTTACCAGATAAACATAATGAAAAGATCCAGGGGCAAGGAAAATAAGGCACTGGCAAAAGTATGACTCAAACGATGGACCATGGTCCCAAAGTAGAAAAAGAAAGAAACTAAAGAAAGAAGGCTGAGAAACCAGGACAAAGTAAATGGGAACAATGGACTGGAAGATCTAATGAGGTCAAAGAATGGTTATAATGGAAGGAGTTGCATAGGCAAACCTGGAAAAGAAGTTGCAGTCTAAGAACAGGATCTCTACATTGATACTGTGGAGGTGAAACCGTTAAAAATGATGACAAGTTCAAAGTGGGAATGAGGAGTAAACGGCTGAAATGGTATGAGATAGCTCATTGGAGAGGGGGGCAAAGATCTGAGTGGCCATAGTGTTGTATGGGTCATTCAAGTAGAACTGAAGTTATAGAAGATGTGTATGTAGTGCAGGTTAGAAGGTTCCACAGATGCATGGCTAAAAAAAAACAAGGGTCAAGTAGTATTAATTTAAACTGTGATCAATGAAAACAAAATTTATGCCAGTGGTTTTAAACTGTAGTTGTCAGAAATATGTTTCCTCAGTGGTATCTAAGAGATCACCCCTAGGATGTGGAAGAAATTAAGAGGGTCTCCAAAGGCCCCTCCAGCTCTTAAGGAGCAGCTCCATTTTTCCTATCCCTGGGATAAACTTACTATCACAATTTTTTTCTTTAATGTTCTGCCATTTAAAAGTTTCAAAAGCACTACTTGTTTTTTCTCTAATTATTTGGAAGACTTACCTTCTCATATGCATTTTCTAGGAATTCAATTGGACTTTTCCCAAATGCTATGGCATGCCCAAGGAATGGAATCGGAGAGAAAATGTGCGGTGGACTTTTCTGCAAGAGAAAGCAAAAAACTTTCAGTTCACATTTTATTTAAGAGAGAAATCTAGCCCTAACGGTGTGGCTCATCTGTTTAGGCATCGGCCCACAAAGCAAAAGGTAGCAGGTTCAGTTCACGGTAGAAGCACATGCCTGCATTGTGGGTTCAGGCCCAGGATGGGGTGTGTACGAGAGGCAATTGATCAATGTTTCTCTTTCACATTGATGTTTTTCTCCCTCCCTTCCTCTCTAAGAATAAATAAATAAAATCTTTTAAAAAAAGAGAGAGAGAAAGAAATCCCATTGTTTCACAACCAAACAAATGGAAATATCTTGAGAGATATTTGGCTATCTGGATATTGGATATTATGGATACAGTACAGTTAAAAGAACAGAAACACAAAACATGGTATAAGATAAATGACTAGACAAACACAAAGACATTGTCATTATAAATGCTGAACACTATCCAGAATATGCCCATTACTATTACTGGTGGCTCTAGGCAACTTTCCTAATCATGAGTAGCACAAACAAACAAAAAAACCACCAGAAAAACATCAAACCATAGTTTCTTCACCACTTACTCCCATTACCACTCACAATTTTAGTCCCAGAATTTTGCCAAAAAAAGGTACAGAAAAAGACAAACAGTAACTTCAGGTACAGATGTAAGAGATATATGTAAAAGAAGTGACATTTTTCAGCAAACAATACATCTCATGCTTCTCTCACCACAAATGAACTAGATCTACTGATTTGAAAGACACAGCAGATCCACTCCATCAGGAACTCTTGGTCATTCAGTATAAAAAGTACTTTAGATGCCCCAAAATAAGACTTGCAAATTACAACATTAAGTCTCCTGGAAATCATTTTTGCAATGATTTAAAAGCATAAGACTCCTCAGATTTTTGGTGCTCTCAAATAGTAAGTAGCACTACAAACTCATTCTTCAGATTACAGTAGCAACAATAGCTAAAATACTAAATAGTATTTTACTAACAGTATTTTACTAAGTATTTAGTAAAAATACTAAAATACTAAATAGCAACAATAGCTTAAAATACTAAAGCTATCTTTATTTCCAAAGACAAATGCCACTTCCTCAAAAATCCCATGTGTAGGAAAAATGATACTAACTGCCTGTTACAGTTCAAATTAGCGTTGGCTGGTTAAGGATGCAGTTATCAAATAGATAAGTATAAAGCTAGGGATCAGTAAAGCCACTAAATTTGAGAAACTGCTTTTACTAGCATCATAGGAACGTCCCTACAGCACCCCAGTCACTCACACTTTACCAAACTGAACACATCCTCTTTCAATCCTGATATAAATAGCCATCAGGGGCAATGCCACAGCCCACAGGACACTGACCCACACGAGGGCAATCACCAAGATAATGGCCACCAAGGCCAGAGCTGCCAAATACCATCGCCACCTGGGCCCACCCCCCACCCCACCCCCGCTCCGGAGGCCCGCAATACCCTTATGACGCCCAGTCCGGCTACTAGAGCACTCACCACCACACCCATTAGGACCACCAGTTCCGCGGCCAGCAGAATCATTATCACAAATGCTGCTAACACGATTTCGACCAGAATGAGGCACGCGGCCACTGCCAGAATAAAGACCGTCACCACCAAGGCAAAAAGGGCCAGGACAGTGCGGCTACCCCTAGAACTCCTATGCGCCCGCCGCCAACGCCCAGGCGAGCACAGCCGCGGTCGCCGCTCCCGCTAGCCCTTCCGCCACCTGAGTCCCCGTGTCCCCCTCCCGGACCCCGCGGGGGTACACGTACCGCCCCGGCCGGCAGCGGGGCAAGGTGACCGATGGCCAGGCGAAGCAGGTAGACCAGGCTGAGCGTGAAGGCGCAGATCAGCAGCTTGGATAGGAGGCTGACGCCCGTCACCTGCTCCATCGCCTGCCCCAGCACCGACCCGCCCGCCTGCAGTAAGCCCAGCAACACCATCCTGGCCCCCGCCGCTTCGGTCTGCCTGAGACGCTGGAGGCCGAGGTCGCCACCGGTCCTCCGATTCGACTGAGCTGGAGAAGCCGGCAGATGGGTGTGCAGAGGCGGCCCCGGCCCCCAGGTCTCCCACTGAACCCAGCCCCACCCCCTACTCCCGGCTACCGCGAATACCACCTTGCGCGTCACAGAAAGGGGCGTGCCCTTCCGCTGGTCACGCCCCTATTGGGACTCTGTAACGCTGAGGTCTCCTTACGCCTGGCTAGAGGACCTGAAGAAGCAGGTTGCATCTACGGCATAAGTGATACACAGACGGAATAGAGCGTGTGCTTAAGAGGAGATCGCCCCTTGGGAATCGCGGGCCACCGGAGCCTGAGTGCCCTGGATGCGGGGAGCCAGAACATGACTCTGGAAGAGTGCGGCGGAGGGATTTCGGAACGAGGATTGCGCAAAGCCAGCAGATGGAGGCGCGCTCTGTGATTGCACCGCGGAAGCGTGAGGTGATCTCAGCCTACGGCGCGTCAGCGGGGCGGGTGGTTTGAGCGCCGCCCCCTGCCTGGGCACTGAGGCTACTGCCCCAGACCCAGCTCCAGTCAGTTCCTGAAGACTCCGAGAGACGGCCCTAAATAGGTGCCTAAAGGAAGATTGTGAAAGACGCCCACACAAGTGTGGGACAATGAGGTCAGTCCCCAAACTCCAGTTAAAACAAGTCTGACAGGTATTAATATATGGCCATAAAGATAGCATTTCTTGGTTATTAGCTATGCTGGATTATACGAAAACAGGTTTTCCAAAATAAATTTTTATGTATAAACTGTTGTGACCTATTTAAGTCAACAATTCCCACTTATTCTGGCCGTTTAGCAATAGTTCAGTCCTGCCGCCAGGATCTCATCCGCTCCTGTGGTTTCAAATAAGCATGCATATAAAATGACTACCAAGTAAAATCTTTCCTCTGGATTACTGTCGCGAGCTCATGGCCAAATGTATTGATTTATTCAGTCAACATTGAAAGCTAAGTATTGTGCTAGGCACTGGGGATACGGCAGCGAATGAGAAAACTGCGCGGTCCCCAGGGAAGGAGCGGGAATATCCAGTTGCCTGCTGGACACCCTCTTCCGGGGATCTAACATTCATCTCTTGGCCAGTAAATCCAAAACCACTCATTATCCCCCCACCCCCCCAGGCTCTGTCAACTTTCCACTTCTGTAATGCCTATATGCAGGAGAGCCATCACTGTTTACCGCATTGCTTCAGGCCTCCCGTCTATCTAATCAGACATCAGCTGCTATCACACCAATTTAAACGTTTCTTCACGTCCCCGTTGTTGCTGCAGTATCCTACCTGTTCCCTATGCCCGTGCTTGTCTTTGATCTGTCATCCCCGCTGTTGCTATTTCTTGAATCACTAAAATTATGTTGTAATCATCTCTACAGGTTTCCTCTCTTACAAGATGAACTTGAGGATAGGGATCATTGTTTTTATATTGTTTATTCTAATACATACCATAGCCGTTCTCAAAAGCATGGTCCATGGCCCTTGGGGGATCCCCAGGACCCTTTCAAGCATCTGCAAACTCAGAGCTCTTTATAAAAATACTGTTATTTGCTTTTTGACTACTGTAAAATCAATAGTAAGTAAAACTTCTGGGGCCTTTGCACAAATCAAAGGCAGTGGCACCCAAACTTCACTAGTCGTTATTCTTCACTACCATGCACTTACTTGAGTAGGGAAAAAAAATTTGCCTGTTTCACTTAATGTCCTTGATGAAATTGAGAACATCCATTTTACTGAAGTTTAACTATTGAATAAAAGTATTTTTGCTTGAAAGAACAACTGACAAACTTATGGTCATTTAGACTTGAGTATTTAACGGGCATTTCTTTTTTTTTTTTTTTAATTAATTTATTTACTTTTTAAATACATTTGTCTCTGCCTTCCCCCCCACCTCTTTCCCTTGCCCCCTCCCACCTTCCCTCCCTCCCTCAGCTCTTCCCCTTTGGTTTTGTCCATGAGTCCTTGCTATATGTTCCTTGACTTTCCCCTTCCCTTCCCTTTCCCTGCCCCCCCCCCTCCACTCTTGTCTCTGTTGATTTCTTTTCCTTTCAGTGTTGCTCGTCTTATTTTCCTTGCTTCTTTGCATTGTTGGTTAGGTTCCGCTTATAGGTGAGATCATATGGTATTTGTCTTTCGCCCCCTGGCTTATTTCGCTTAGCATGATGCTCTCCAGTTCCATCCATGCTGTTGCAAAGTTTAGTACTTCTTTTTTCTTTCTGCTGCGTAGTATTCCATTGTGTATATGTACCATAATTTTTTGATCCACTCATCTACTGCTGGGCATTTAGGTTGCTTCCAACACTTGGCTATTGTAAATTGTGCTGCTATGAACATTGGGGTGCATAGGTTCTTTTGTATTGGCGTTTTGGTGTTCTCAGGGTATAGTCCCAGCAGGGGAATCGCTGGATCAAAAGGCAGTTCCATTTTCAGCTTTCTGAGGAAATTCCACACTGCTTTCCATAGTGGCTGCACCAGTCTGCATTCCCACCAACAGTGGACCAGAGTTCCCTTTTCTCCACAGCCTCGCCAGCACCTGTTGTTTGTGGATCTGTTTATGATGGCCATTCTGACCGGTGTGAGATGGTACCTCATGGTGGTTTTGATCTGCATTTCTCTGATGGCTAGTGATGCAGAGCATCCTTTCAAATGCCTCTGGGCCCTCTGTATCTCCTCCTTAGAAAAGCATCTGCCCAGGTCCTTTGCCCATTTTTTGATTGGATCGTTTGTCTTCTTGGAGTAAAGTCGAGTGAGTTCTTTGTATATCTTGGAGATCAAACCTCTATCTGATGTATCATTAGCAAATATATTTTCCCAAATGGTAGGCTCCCTTTTCATTTTGCTGATGTTTTCTTTAGCCGTGCAGAAGCTTCTTATTTTGATGAGGTCCCACTTGTTTATTCTTTCCTTTATGTCCCTTGCTTTAGGAGACATATCAGTGAAAAAATTGCTGCGTGGGATATCTGAGAGTTTCCTGCCAATGTTCTCCTCTAGGACTTTGATGGTGTTGCGACTTATATTTAAGTCTTTTATCCATCTTGAGTTTATTTTTGTGTATGGTGTCAGCTGATGATCCAATTTCAATTTTTTGCATGTAGCCATCCAGCTCTCCCAACACCATTTGTTGAAGAGGCCGTTATTGCCCCATTTTATGCTTCTGCCCCCTTTGTCGAATATTAGATGTCCATAGAGACCTGGGCTTATTTCTGGGCTTTCTATTCTGTTCCACTGGTCTATGGGTCTGTTCTTGTGCCAGTACCAGATTGTTTTGAGTATAGTGGCTTTGTAGTAGAGTTTGATGTCCGGTATTGTGATCCCTCCTACTTTGTGTTTCTTTCTCAAAATTGCTGCGGCTATTCGAGGTCGTTTATGGTTCCATATAAATTTTTGAAATGTCTGTTCTATTTCTGTGAAATACGTCATTGGTATCTTAATAGGGATTGCGTTGAATCTATAAATTGCTTTTGGTAGTATGGACATTTTAAGGATATTAATTCTTCCAATCCATGTGCACGGTATATGCTTCCATTTATTTGTGTCTTCCTTAATTTCTTTTTTCAATGTTGTATAGTTTTCTGCATACAGGTCTTTTGTGTCTTTGGTTAAATTTATCCCTAGGTACTTTATCTTTTTTCGTGCTATATCGAATGGTATATTTTTCCTGATTTCTTCTTCTTCTATTGCATTGCTGGTGTACAGAAACGCCTTTGATTTCTGAATGTTGACTTTGTATCCTGCTGTTTTGCCAAATTCACTTATTAGGTTGAGGAGTGTTTTGGTAGAGTCTACAGGGTTCTCTATGTACACTATCATGTCATCTGCAAACAATGATAGTTTTACTTCCTCCTTTCCTATTTGGATGCCTTTTATCTCTTTCTCTTGTCTGACCGCTGTGGCTAGGACTTCCAATACGATGTTGAAAAGAAGCGGTGAGAGCGGACATCCTTGTCGTGTTCCCGATCTTAGTGGGAAAGCTTTCAGTTTTTGCCCGTTGAGTATGATATTGGCCGTAGGTTTTTCATATATGGCCTTTATTACGTTGAGGAATGCCCCATTTATTCCCATTTTGCTGAGTGTTTTGATCATAAATGGGTGCTGTACCTTGTCAAATGCTTTTTCTGCATCTATCGAGATGATCATGTGGTTTTTGTCTTTTCTTTGATTTATGTGGTGTATCACGTTTACTGATTTGCGTATATTGAACCATCCCTGCATCCCTGGGATGAATCCCACTTGATCGTGATGGATAATCTTTTGAATGTATTGCTGGATGCGGTTTGCCAATATTTTGTGGAGGATTTTAGCATCCATGTTCATCAGCGAAATTGGCCTGTAGTTTTCTTTCTTTGTAGGGTCTTTATCTGGTTTTGGGATCAGGGTGATGCTGGCCTCATAGAAGGAGTCTGGCAGTCTTCCCTCCTTTTGGATTTTTTGGAATAGTCTAAGAAGGACAGGGGTTAGCTCTTCCTTAAATGTTTTGTAAAATTCTCCTGGGAAACCGTCTGGCCCTGGGCTTTTGTGTGCTGGGAGTTTCTTGATTACTGCTTCAATTTCCCCAACTGTTATTGGTCTGTTCAAGCTTTCTGTTTCTTCCTCCTTCAGTGTTGGAAGATTATACTTTTCTAAAAATTTGTCCATTTCATCAAGATTTTCAAATTTCTTGGCATATAATTGTTCATAATAGTTTCTGATAATCATTTGTATTTCTGTGGTATCAGTTGTTATTTCTCCTCTTTCATTTCTGATATTATTAATTTGGGTCCTCTCCCTTTTTTTCTTGATGAGTCTGCTTAAAGGTTTGTCCACTTTATGAATCTTTTCAAAGAACCAGCTTCTGGATTGGTTGATCCTCTGAATTGTTCTTTTTGTCTCTATGTCATTCAGTTCTGCTCTAATCTTGACTATTTCCTTCCTTCTACTTGCTCTGGGATTTATTTGTTGTTGTTTCTCCAGTTCTTCAAGTTGTAGTGTTAGGTCTTTTATTTGAAATGTTTCTATCTTTTTAAGGTAAGCCTGTATTGCTATGAACTTCCCTCTCAGGACCGCCTTTGCTGTGTCCCATAGGTTTTGGACAGTTGTC